CCCCCTATGATACCTCTTCCAGGAGTGAATTTCCCTTCCGAGGGGTAGATTTCTCTCACTTCCTGTTGTCTCACCCCTGTTCTTAAATATGAGTCATTTGTAAGTCAGATATTTGTAACTCAGGGACTGCCTGTACATCCTCAATCTCTTCTGATTTTGGAAGCGATGTAAGGTCCATCTTGTTAACACCTGGATGGAAAACATGTGGAGAACACTAAGAATATCAAGGAATAGAGAAGAAAAGTCATTTCTTAAAACTTGCAGTGTTCAAAATTGACTTTACTGGTCTCGACGGGCAGTGATCAGAATCAGTTTAAGTCTGTTTCCCATATTGACACAGAAGCTTATCTAAACACGTTTATGAAAGCAAATCTCTGCCTACTCCCTACCTTCCCTTAGTGCTCCTTAATCTAAATAATATGTATATGGTGTAAGAATTCCTTATAAGCTCTTCTTTTTTCTCAACAATCACTGCCTTGGATTTTGTCCAACTGCTAGCTTTGGCTAACCATCTGCTTTTTTCCATAGTTTCCTTGGATCTTGATATCCCCTTATTTTGACATTGCTCTGCCTCCTTATTGCATATAGTTAGGTGACTTGAAAGATGATGCAAAGAAGATGGTGTGATGCATATCAGCGTCAGTGATCCAGGGAAATATAGTTATGTCATTTTGTTAGATAGGATTTGGAAAGCCAGAATTCTCAAATGTCATGTGAACGCTTATCTGTTTCACACATGGAGCCAACTGATAAGCAAATCTAAGGTGTGTGTGTGTGTGTGTGTGTGTATCAATCTCTGGATAAAACTGTGATATGGGGAGGAAAGATTTAGATTTGTGAGGTACTGGGAAACATTTTACAATAAGCAAGACCTGTGCAATACTTCTACTTGAACCTGAAAGAAACCAGACCACTAATGTTTAAAATAAAAAGTTAGCAGCTTCTAAAACTAGCAATGAGTAAAGCCAATAGAAGCAATGAGTATTCAGTTCAAAATGTGTGAACTCCATGGAATAAGGAGAAGTACATTTAGCTAGTGCTTTGGGACTTGACTGAGTCCTCTCAATCTCAGGATTCAACTTCCTCTTGAAGTCCTGATTTGAATACACCTAGTTTGTTCACTTCTCACCTTTCCCGCATGGGGAAGATAAGAGGATTGAAACCAGTCCCTCACAGAAGCCAGTGAAGATCTGTCACAGTAACCCAAACTGATTGCACAGTCCTATAAATGTCTGTGCCCTAAAACAGATGATTACAAGGTGGGTGGCCCCAGAATTTGAAATTTTGCCAAGGAATACAAAATCGAAATGGTTGTTGAATTAATTGAAAAATGCTATTAATTTTAATGTGTATGCAAGTGGAAAGTTGCTGAGGAATTCCAACATGGTCATATTTGAGGTTAAAAGAGGAAATATTTCAAATACAGAAAGACTGACAAAAAGTTGAAAAGGAAAAGACGAGAGTCTGAGCTCTCCATAATATGGTGGCGGGGCATAAATAAAGTCTATTCATTCATAATACTTAGGGTCTAAGTTGGAATTGCTGTCTGGAGTGTAACCCTATCTTCTTTTAGACTGTGCCCCCACTCATTTGGACAAATCAACACCTACCCACTCCTGAATCAGATGGCCTAGATTATCACCCTCATGGAAGCTGGTACCTTCACAACCACAAGCAGCTTGCCCATGTTCTTAAGATAGCTAAACCAAAGTGGTAGAAGCAGCTCTGAAAAGTGATTGCTTGTGGCACTTTGGCAGAGGCATTAGGTTAATTATGGAGCCTTTAAATCTCAACATAGGAGCCATAAAAGGGTTCCATCCTTTGGTTCTCAAAAATGTTTTGTTCCTAGAATCCTTCATCATGAGCCATATTCGCTGATATTTAATTTAATTTAAGTTCAAAGCAGCTAACTTAGATCAATTTAAAAGACATAGTAAAGAAAAACGGATGGAGTAGAGGCGACTGATAACAATGGCACTCTGCCTCCAAATACCAGTTAACATGAAACAACAACGGGGATGGCTGTTCTCTTTTTCCTGCTTGTGAACTTCCAAGAGGCACCTGTGCCCATTTTTCGAGGCAGGATTAGATGAGCCCCCAGTCTTCTCCACCAGGACTTCTCTTGTTTCTTTATGTTTTGGGGAAACAAGACTGCCAAGTGAGTGGAACTGATTGTGACATCTCTGTATCTTCCTCCTCCATCTGACAGGACCAGGTCCCTGATGTGCCACACACCTTAACAGCAATCTATACATTGTTTGCCCCTGCCACTTATCTTTGTGTTTTCGCTGAAAGAGAAGGTAACTACTGAAGGAAATAACAAACCCCCTTGCAACATTTGGTTTGCCCTGTGGTTCTAAAGAGCTGTTTTCATTAAATTAGGTTTAATTAAAGCATGCAGATATTTAATTAACTCTGTGGCCTTCTTGTGCTTTAATGGCTGCTTGGGGATATTTACAGAAGCCTAGCTTGTAAGCACCACTTGGCCATTTGGAGGCAAATATGCCTATGAGGAACGGTTGCCTTTCCCCTTCTATGCCTGAATCTATACCTAAAGGAGACCCAGGGCAACCAAGTGCTGGTTTTCTCAGATATTTTACCAAGAGGTGGAAAATAAACAGGCATCATTAAAATGTAGCCTGTGAAAATTGGAGCTTAGAATATTCCACAAGTTTGATACAAGAATGAGAAAGCAACCCAGGATTTCATACAGAAGACTCCTGTAGTTTTGGTCCTATAAGCTTGTGACAAAACCAGGGTGTCATGAAGTCGCTTATGAGAGAATTCAAAGCAGAATCCCAGGGGCAGTAATCAGAATTTATGTAGAGTAACTATATGTAAGGCATCGTAGTTTTGTCACTTGAGGAATTGAGGGAGGAAACCATGAACAGAATTTGCCAATTTGGCTGTAAACAAAAAATGCACCACTTGGACAGGAACAGTCAAAATCTTTAGGACCAATCTGGTATTATATTTGAAAATAAAATTTAACTTATAGAAATACAGAACTTTTCAGTAGCAGATTGTCACAAGCAATGAAGAATTTCCCCTTCTTTTTCTTCTCAGGAAGATGGCCATATCCACAAGGTGCTGAAATGTGTCTTGCATTTGAATGTTGTGTTTAATGTTCACGCTCCCATTCTGTAGTCTGCTTCACTTATCAGCTTTCACAGTCCACAATTCTTGGCATTTTTAGTGTGTAAATTTTTGGGTGTGTTTATTTTTTTAAAAAAAAATGCATGGCTCTGAGGGGGTAATTAATTCCAAAAAGAAACATTTCATCAGAGGTTTGTGTGTGTGTGCATGCATGTGTGTCTCTATTTAAAGATATATATCCTTAGAGAGAAATCCAGAAAAAATTTGCACCTCCCCAGTTGTTCCATGTTTACCTCAAACCTTCACATTCTTATTCAAGGAGGTGAAACGAGAACCTAGGGGAATCATTCCACCACTCTTTGATTATCCTCAAATGTGACATCGTGTGAATAGAAATCCTTTAAAGTATAACATATTTGTTGACCCATGAAAACAGAAGACCCTGTTACTATCATGCAGGTTGAAAACGTAATTGAATTAATCTCTGTTTGAAATCTGAGACAGAAGACATGTGATGTAGATAAGAAAAGGTTACTCTTTTTTCAAGTCCAGATTATGTGGAACGTTGAGGTTGGGGGGAAAAGGGGGAGATAACTTGTTGATCTGTAGATTCACATCTGAAGAGTGTCACAGTCATGGATTCATACTCGTCCACTTGTCAAATCCCATTACAATCTTTGTCAGGAAGATGAGGGAAACAGACACAAACATAATGAAATGCAGAATGTGTTAGCTAATCATATGCTGGCTTTAATGGCAAAGCAGCATTGCAGAAGGGGACGGAGGAGTAAATTAGTCCATTTGTATGATGGTTGGGAAGCTGCAGTGGCATCAGGGAAAAGGTGAAACAATTTTCTGATAGAGGTGGAACCAAGTGAGATTGCAGTTGCAACCTAGGCTCCATCTGCCTGCATGAACCTGTAATTTACTTGGAGTCTATTATCAGGTTCTCGTTCTCTGTTTTAAATTAACTATCACACAATAGCTATTGGTGTTTGCTTTTGTATGAACATAAATATCACTGCTTATAAACATGCTTTGAAACAGTAGACTTTTAGTCTGCTGCCATCTTTTAATCACATTATTTTGGGTGCACAAATGGATTTAAACCAAAGTTATGGGATGATTGGGTGCATTTATATGTTCACGAGATCTGTAATTTAATACTGGGTTAAATCTATTTAAGGGTTATGCTGAAGGGTGACATAAGCAGTTATGCATGGTTCAGGCAAAGTAAATGAGAAAAGACAAGACTGGCTATGTCATTTGAAACTGGGAAATAACTGACTCAAGTAGTAGTAGTAGTAGTAGTAGATTTCATAATGTGATGTACACATTACGAAAAGGCAGACAATCCCTATTATGCTACTTTTATTGTCAGGGGTATTGGAGGCAGTGCTTTCTTGTGGGGTCTTTTGGCTTGGGAACCACAGTAACTTGGTTGGTCTTAGATATTTCTACACACCAAGATTTTGAGGCTGAAGGACTCCATTTGCTGTACCAGCCCCCATTGTAGCAGTCATTTGACTCTGTATAAGGAAGCTTCATATATCCGAACCACATGCATTTTAAAAAATGAACTCTTTAATATGCTTCAGTATATCAATTAATGAAATATTGTTCTTAACTAATTGCAAAACACTATTTCATTGTGTCTATTTTGCTTTGACTCTATGTGCTATGTTGTGTGGGAGACACAAGAAAGTAAGGAAAGAAAAGAAAGTAACACAAGAGATATCAACCACAATGCTTTTCCCCAAATGCAGACATCTTGCTGATTCTCCTCTTTCCCGCTTCATCTTTTGGCTCATCCTAAGTCATTTAGCAGACATCTTTTCCAGGGAGAAGATGACACACAGAATCCTTTGGCTCATATCCACCTCCCTTCATTTGTCTTTTTTCAGGCTACTGGGAATCTGTTCCAGGTGCGAGTACTTGGAGGCTCTACTCTGTGCAGCTACCTCTCTCCTCAGGACAGCTGGCCGCTCTACCATCCCGCCGTGGACAGGTAAGCAATTAAATGCACCGGAAGCCTACAGATGAGTCAGGAAGGGTGCCAGAAGTCAGAAAGCAGAGAGAGAAAAGGAATTGGAAACTACAACTCCAAGCTACAACTCCAAGAATCCTGTTGACTATGCTGGCTGGGAATTTGAGAAAATTGCATCCCCGAAAGTAATTTTTCAAGCTCTGCATAGACTATGCCTGATCTGTCCCTTTTGCCTAGCAGAAGTAGTCTTCCTCACTCACCTTTTATTTTTCAACATTTTGTTGTGTTAACACCTGGAATTGGTGTGGATCCCATTTTGATTTTTAACAGTCTGCACAGTCTCACCACTCCATGGGCATCTGGTAGTGCTAGGGGTTGCTTGATATTTGTGGGGTATACCTAACATCAATACTGTGAAGATGCTGAACAGTTTTATTTGAACACAAAAGTTATGTATACATAAAAGAAACTTTAAAAAGAAGGTAAATTTTTCTTCAAGGCACTGTTCAAATAAGTATATGGAAGGGAGCTGCCATAGAGCTGTGCTTGTTAAGGGCTGAATTGACAAACTTGATATATGTCCCTTGTTAAGCTCACACAGTCAAGTAGATCCAGAAAGGTGTGTGTGCATCCACACACTACTAAGTGAGTCCTGTTGAGCATGTAAACTGGACATTTTCCTGCTGATTACCTCTTGGCCTTAAACATTAGGTGGAGTCCCTCACTCACCTCACTCTGAACCAATGTGACTCGACAGACCAAGTCAACTGGTTTCTTTCTTCCTTTCTAGCACCACAGCAGTTCAGTGTACCTGGCAACCCTCAAACAGCAGCAGTGCTATCTCTCATGCGGTGCATCCGGACATGCACCACTATCGAGCATTTCACGAAGGGGGCCCATGAATTATTAATGATTTAACTGCTACTAGCTGGATTCTAGTCAAAGATAATGTTAGCTCAGATAATGTCCCTGAGAAGCAGGAAGCAAGTCAGGGGGCTGTCATCATGGCACAGCACTCACTAATTGTGTTGCAACCTGGCCCAGGGGGACCTTTATATGGTTCCCAATTGGGCAGTTTACTGCCAGGCTCCCAGGGAGGTGGCACATTAGCTAAGCCATTCAGAAAGAGGATTAAGCTGGGAAGAATACAATGAATCTGAACAATCCTTCTGCACAGTCTCACCACTCCATGGGCATCTGGTAGTGCTAGGGGTTGCTTGATATTTGTGGGGTGAAACTATCACAAAATGAAGTTGCCTGTTGAACAGCTTGAAAACATCACCTTTAAGGCTACTTTTTCCAGTATCCATAATCCAATATAACTTTATGGCATATTGGTTGCAGGATTCTAGGAGTTGTAGTCCCCCAAAAGTGGTTCTATACATTGAGTACTTATCTCTATGCTTTGAGAGATTTCTTATTTAATGTGTTTCCTAGTTCCACATTGGGTGCTATGTTTGCATTCAATCCTAGAAAACCTCTCATTTTTGTCCCTCCTTCTGCTCTGTAGGGGTGCCTTCGTGCTTGAAAATGTTCATGGCTGTGCAACCTAGACTCTTAAGTATATTTTGGTAAAAATGTACTCTTGCTATGTATTTGTTAGATTTGTGGCTGCTATTGGAAAGATCGAAATCCATTTAAGATCCTAGGATCTGTGAATGATTAGTTCAACGTGTGGAAGTGGCTACTAGTGACAACATGGCATTTGCATTTGGTGCTGGTGGTTGGGAGGGAGACATTTTTTCCAGTGGTTAATCTGAAAAAAAAAAGATTGTCCTGATCTCAAACATGTCAAGGAATGGTAAATCCAGGATCCCTGAAGTGAAAGTTCTCTCTACTTCAAAAGTATGTTTAGGGAGAATAAGCTCACTAGTAAGTAAGATAGCACTTTACACAATGTCAGGTGTACTTTACTCATACCTTATTTCTTCCAGTGCTGAGTCCTCACATTGAAAAGTCAGTATAGTTTTGAACAGCAGACTGGGCTGAGCTGAGAACATCAGGAAAAAATCTGTTTACAACCTCCCTTGAAGGATTTGTTTATGGGATCCTAGGGCTTGCAGGGTTGCTCTTAACAAGTTTAATTTTAATCTGAACCAATCTACCCCCAAATTAGTCATTCCTTGGCATTTTTTGCCAATATATCACACAGTTCTAGACACTTGAGAAGTGTCCGATGTGTGATCCAATACAACAGCCAGCAGAGTGATCTTGTTTGCTGTGGACTCATCTTGTTGTGTTTCAAATAATAGTAATAGTAGTAGTAGTAGTAGTAATAATAATAATAATAATAATAATAATAATAATAATACCAGATTGACTAATTTTTGGAACTCAATACACCAGACATCACGATTGTGGAAAAGAAAAAAGTTTGGATTATTGGTGTCACCATACCAGGTGACAGTCGCATTGAGGAAAAACAACAGGAAAAACTCAGCCGTTATCAAAATCGAACTGCAAAGGCTCTGGCATAAACCAGTCCAGGTGATCCCAGTGGTCATTGGCACACTGAGTGCCGTGCCAAAAGATCTCAGCCAGCATTTGGAAACAATAATATTGACAAAATCATGATCTGTCAACTGCAAAAGGCCACCTTACATGGATCTGCATGCATCATTCGAAAATACATCACACAGTCCTAGATGCTTGGGAAGTGTTCGACTTGTGATTTTGTGATATGAAATCCAGCATATAGATCTCGTTTGCTGTGACATACTGCAATGTCATAATAACGATAGCAGCAGCAGCAGCAACAGACAATGGTGAGGATGGTGGAAAGTACGGTTCAATCGTAGAGCCAAGAAAGCAGATTAAGTCTTCCCAAGAGAACCTTACAATCTAAAATTTAATATGGCATTAGAGCAGAAGGAAGATGGGAAGGGAAGGACATGGAGTTGACAAAATGTAAATTTATTTAGAATTAGTTTCCATGGGGAAGTGAAACACACACACACACGCACACACACAAAGACTTCATCACATCTTGATGCTCATGGCCAGAAAAAGTTAGCAGCACATTGGTCATTCATTTGACTCTTGCTATTCTAACTGATTTTTCAGGTTTCTGAAATCTTGTCTCTTGTCTAGGCTCTCGTCAACAACTAAAAACACCCCAGAAAAAGTGATTTTTAAGCGTGTGTGGGAGGAGCCTGCCCCCTGCTGGCCAGTGGTGGCTCTGGCATGCCTACCATGACCTGTAGTTCATGCATTTAATGTTGATAGTAGACAATTGAGGTCAGCAAAAGAGCCTCATCTGACTCTTTGTGGAACCAGAATTCCACTCTGGTTTTTTCAACAGCCCCTCCTGCAGCTGTCTCAAGTGTCAGTGCCAAATTAGGATCCATCACCGATAGAGCTCCCCAGTACCACTATCATGCCACATAAGTATCTAATAGCTTCTTCTTTCTGCAGAGTGCTACAGTTTAGTGGTCCTGGTGGTCCTGCTCATGTGAAGCTGGTAATTGAGTGGGATGTGAGCACCAAAGAAAGGTAAGTGTGATATGTTTTGTGATGGGCAGTCATCACAAATCTCCCCAAGCACCTGCTGATTGAGGGGGAAAGTATTCAGTTATACAATGTGCCACCTACTATCTAAAGTCACACAGTCTTTTGGATGCTGCACTTGCTCTTTCCTTTTATTTTATTTTTAAAAGCGAACTGATTGAGAAGCCATGCTGAAAGGGAATGAGTTGTACTTTAGATTTTTCCAGCTCAGTGATTCTTGAATACCTGTTGAAACAGTGTGTTCTTCTTCATGATGGAGAAGTGATTGTAGAAGAGCAATCAGGTTTGACATTTGAAGAGACACAGTAAAAAGCCTGACTTCCAAGGAAAAAGGTGAAAAATCTCACCGAGGGTCCTTTTGAGGGCTCTTCAATTCTTTAACTATTTTGAAAAATTGGCTTTAATATCCAAGACAAATTGTATGGAATGATATAGTTGGAAGGTATCCCAAGGGTCTGCAGAAATACGCAATCAAAACTCTCCCAACAAAGCTTTGTCATCTAGACTGTATTTAAAAAGCTTTAGATAAAAGACTCCATCACATTTCAAGGACACATATTACACCACTGAACAACTGTCACCATCAGGAAGCTCTTCCTAACATTTAGATGGAATTTTTTCTTAACTTACCTTTAGAATGAATCAGAATATCCTTCCATTCTTGCTCAAGTGGTACTGACTGATCAGCTGGGTTTAGAGTTTCATTGTATTCACACAATTCTTGGACAATTGATGAAGCTACACCAAGGTGGTGCAGCTTTATCAGGGATATGTTGATAGGTACTTTAGATGTCTGTCTCACATGAGACCAACTTATGTCAACTATAGAGTCCCCGCTGAGGGCACTTCTGGCTCTTTTATTTATATTTCTGTAGCTTATTTGGCAACATCCAAGAAGAAGTGGTTGAGGATGCAGAAAGTGTGAGGATGAAGCAGCAGCTGCACCTGCAGCAACACAGTTGCACCCTGGACGAATGCTTCCAGCTCTACACCAAGGAGGAACAGGTATCCCTGGACTTAGCCCAATGGAATGCTAGGATTTAACAAACTGAGATGAATATAAGTATCTCTACATTTGCAGAGTAAACATTCACAGATTTGGTTATTTCTGGATTGCTGTATACGCTGCTGCCTCCACTGCTGCCATACGTGTGATTGAAAAAAAAAGTTTTCTCTTGGCATTTGGAGGTCCTCCAATGCAATTATCCAGTTAATTTTCAGAGGAGGGCCAATTTCATATTGGAAGACCTAGAAATGACTAGAGAAGTGTTCTCTCAGCACGTGTGCTTTTTATTTATATCAGTTTTTTCTACTTTGGTGGGACTCTGTGCCCAAATCTTTGTGAATTTGCAGATCACAAAATATCTTGCTGTTCTGGACAGGAGTAGAAATGCCCATCAAGTTGTTTTCCCCTTGTTCTGCTCAGAAGTATCTTCTGACTTGGACCTAGCTGATAGGCTTTTTGAAGTAGGGTTGAGCAGCTGCTGCAAACAACAGCACCCATTCATCCACATCTGCCAGGCATTTCCGATATCCCAGTGCCATTCCTTACAACTGGCAACATTCTCTCTTCCTCCGTAGCTGGCCCCTGATGATGCCTGGCGCTGTCCCCACTGCCAGGTCCTTCAGCAGGGCATGGTCAAACTCAGCCTGTGGACCCTACCTGACATCCTCATCATCCACCTCAAACGCTTCCGACAGGTGGGAGAGCAGCGCCACAAGCTCTCCACTCTAGTGCGCTTCCCCCTTTATGGACTTGATATGGCTCCTCATGTGGCCAAGCGCAGTCGTGGCAGCAAATGGGGGCCCTGGAAGCAGCCCACACCAGAAGGCAGCCAGTGCAACTTCCTCTATGACCTGTATGCTGTCTGCAACCATCATGGAAGCATGCAGGGTGGGCACTATACAGGTGAGTGCTACAGCAGATGTGCACTAAGGAATTGGCATAGTCCTGAGGAACTGCTACCCTTATGCCATTCGTAGCCCCTGCTCAAGTTCAATGATACTGCACTACCACATGGATTACTTGTGTTCTTTGCAGTATTTTCTTTGGGAGAGGGCGATCAGTTTCTGCACCAAAATATTACTAGTGTAGCAATGGAGTCCACTAGAGAAATTAAGTGTGTCTGCACATGTTGCCTTTTTTAGTGTTTTGAATTGCTTAAGCTTCTAATTTTGAGGCAGTGGTAGTGTATGAACTCCTTGAAGAAAACAATATGCAAGGATAACAAATAAATCTAGTTGAACATCAGCTTTTGCAGGTTTTGCTTCTGTAGATTTGGTTATTTATGAGCTTGTCATTAAATATTAAATACAAAAATCAGATTAGAAAATGTAAAGAAAAGTTTTAAAAAGTTTTTTGTAAGTCATAAATGTATAAAATATATGTAATATTATTTATTTATTATTTATTTACTCTAGTTATATCCTGCCTTTCTCTACCCTGAAGGGGACTCAAGGCAGCTTACACAGAGGCAATTATTTAATGCCTTAAAACGCATACAATTCTAATAAAATAAAATAAAATTAGATTAAAATTAAAAACATATTAAGCATTTAAAAACATCACATTCCATATTAAAATTATGCCATCCATCATTGTAGTCTGAGTCATTCCATAGACAATACAAAATTACATACATACTTCTTGTGTATTAAATATGGCCAACAGTATTAGGAGTTTGGTAGACAGGGATATTCCCATTTTTTCCATTTTCATGCAGGTTCATTGTCCGAAATCCTGCGTATAGTGAGCCAAGTGTATTCAAAACACTTAAGCCTCAGCACTTGAATTCCTGCCAGCTTGAACCCTTCTAAAATTTGGAGAATTCACTAAGAACTGCTCAGACCTCGTCACATTTTTCTTCAGATTTGAAAGAGCTAGAAACTCGATTTAAAAATTAAATATGAATAATGGGGAAAAACTGAACTCTTTAGTATACTGGACATTGTGCATGGCAACATAGGTGCTTCTATGACCCCACTGTGAGCATGTGAAATGCAAGTAGCCCATCAAGCAGGAAGGGTGAGAAGTTGTAGTTCTGTTGAAAATCATAGAACAGATTTTAAAAGTCACATTTTGTTGATGGATTATTGAGCCACGTGCGAGAAAAAATACACTTGTTTCCTGGGAATAATAATCCCTTATGAGAGCATTCAGATATGGTCAAGTTCTGAGATGGGCTAGGACAATTGGAAAGCCTTTATCTTGGAGAGAATGAGGCAATTCCTCTGGATCTCCAGAATGTCTACATAACTGAAGGAAACTCCTTTCCACATGCCAAAGTATCCTGTCTGGCAGGGCTTTTGAATGTTGTTGAGTTGTTGAATATTTGTCCCCTTCAGCTCTTGACAGTCTGTTCTAGTATGAGAGGAATAGTGTGCAAACAATGGAAGGGTCAGAATGTCCCCACTTCAGCTTTAATGTGATGTGTGTTCCATCCTCAGCATACTGCCGCAATGCCTTGGATGGTCACTGGTACAGCTACGATGACAGCACCGTGGAAGCAGTCTTGGAAGATGAAGTCAGCACACGGGGTGCCTACATCCTCTTCTATCAAAGACGCAGCGTGGTTCCAAGCTGGTCTGGAGGAAGTTCTGTCAGAGGTTTGCGAGGAGCACTTAGCCTACCTGCTGATGCAGCTGCTTATTACATTTGGAACATTTATCTATCTTCTGTCCTTTCCTGGGGAAATTGATGTCTGCCTTGGAATTCTAAACATGTACCAACATGGATTTTAGAGAGTGGGTCTTAAGACCCATGCTGATGTGAATATTGGATATGGGTCTTACTCATTTCAGAAGGATGATTTACAGACCTGCATTATCTTTGTGTGAACTAATAATAGATTCCATAAAATAGCCTCCCAGTTTATGATGGGTGTGATCAGGTGATCAGCATACTGGAATAGTGGTTCATTAAGTTGTTGTGAGGCTGCATCTATGTCTAGCACCATTTTAATACAGGACTATGAGAGGAATGAACTAGTTGCAGCATTTTGTATTTATGTTCAAAATTCAAAATAAAAACAGGACACACACATGTTATGGACAACAAAGGACCAGTAGGAAAAGGAGATGTGACTGGAAATTGCCTATTATTATTATTATTATTATTATTATTATTATTATTATTATTAAACATCAACATCATCTGGGCGTCCCCTGGGCAGCGTCCTTGCAGAGGGCCAATTCTTTCACAACAGGAGCAACTTGCAGTTCCTCAGGTCGCTCCTGACACGACAAAAATTATTATTATTATTATTATTATTATTATTATTATTATTATTATTATTACCTTAATTGAGAGTGTCCCGAGGGTTATTCTTTTTGGCAAAATCAATAGTAAATTGCTACAACTCTGATTCTTAGCAGTTTACTATTCACTTGACATGCCAGAAATGCTGATTAAACCCAGATAAAGCTTTCAGAACTTCTCATATTTGCCAGAATCTTGATCTAGACATCTTCTACCAATTTAGTTTTGGGTTGTTGTAGGTTTTTCCGGGCTATATGGCCATGTTCTAGAGGCATTTTCTCCTGACGTTTCGCCTGCATCTATGGCAAGCATCCTCAGAGGTAGTGAGGTCTGTTGGAAGTAGGAAAATTGGTTTATATATCTGTGGAATGACCAGGGAGGGACAAAGGACTTATGTCTGCTGGAGCTAGGTGTGAATGTTTCAACTGACCACCTTGATTAGGATTTAATGGCTTGGAAGTCCCTGGGGGAATCTTTTGTTGAGAGTGATTTGATGTGCCTGATTGCTTACTCTCTGTTGTTTTGCTGTTGTAATTTTTGAGTTTTTAAATACTGGTAGCCAGATTTAGTTTTGGGTTTCTGTGGGAGCCTACTAGGCCCTCTTTGGCTGCATAAAACCCTTACAAACAGACAAAAATGGGGGAGGGAAAAAAGAGGAGCCTGCATTATCTTTCCACAATTGCTGGCCAAATTTGACAGTTATAACTGTGAAAACCAGTGGACAAAGGCATCATTTCCCATGCTCTTGCACTCCTACCTAGTCTTGCAACTAATTGAGAGATGTGGCTGCATTAGACTGAACAGTGGAAAATTTATAGAGAATATGCTTCTGATAGAACTACACTCATACAGAGGGTCTTCTTGACCCAAGAATGCCTAGGATCCCATGCCTCATGGGCAACTGTTCTCACCAGGTGTTTTCTTGAGCCCACAGAGATGTCCAGTGGAAAACTCATCAAAGGCTCTGAGAGACTTGTAAGCAATCCCTTTCTATCAAATTAAGAAGGAGTGGTAGGGTGGTTCATGAATTCAGGCTGGCTTACAAATGAGCACTGCAATTTCCAAATTTTTCATGGTTTGGTTTAATATTTACTTTTATTTCCCAAAAGTGCAAATGAATCCACTGGTCTTGTGTTTATGTGTGCTTTCCAAAGCCTCTTTGATATTTATTGGCTGGTTGAACAGGATCCCAAGGAGCACACATTCGCAAATGTTCCAACAATAATTTATGGGTTTTACTTGCAGGTTCCACCAGCTCCTCCATTTCTGAACACTGGCTGACACGACTTGGTGGAAGCAACATGCGAGAGAGCCTGGTGTCCCATAACTCGGTCACCTGCCCATCTCTACCAAAAATGCCAGACTCACCCACCATGACCAATGCTAGCAACAACCAGGAGAAAGGTGCTTGGTTTCTACTTTTTTGCTTCCTATACACACTAGCCTGTCGAAATGCTCATTCAAGCCCCAAAATACAAACCTTGGAACATTGCTGCCACTCATCTGATTAAACCAAGTGTCCAGACTCTTTGCTTCTGGAATCTATGAGAACACAACAATGGCAGTGGTTCTCAACCTCTGGGTCCCCAGATGTTTTGGCCGTTAACTCCCAGAAATAGTAACAGCTAGTGAACTGGATGGGATTCCTGGGAGTTGTAGGCCAAAACACCTGGGGACCCACGGGTTGAGAACCACTGATCTAGGCTCTTGTCTTTGTCCACTGATTTTGTATTTTGGAGCTTGAATGAGCTCCAGAGCCTCAGGGGGCCTCCAAGAGAGTCGTACAGGTGAAATGTTACAAGAACTAGAACTCTGATTCTTTTGCCTCTCCTCTGGCACATAGTTTATAAATTGCCAGGGGGCTGGATTTTTCCTATGTTTGTCCCCACTTTAACCAAGCTAAGCAAGTGCACCAATAATCAGTAAACTTCAGAGAAAAATCAGGCCATTTCAGATTCAAGTTTCATTCAACTGGCTACATTTTTGTTCCCCAGTTCTCAAATCTCTCTTCTTAGTTGAATTACTTGGCTTTTACTAGTCGTTTATCAACTGGAAACAAATAATATTTCCCTTCCATCCTGGCATCATTTCCATCAATCCTGGCATCAACAGGTAAATAGATGGGTTAGAGAGGAAGAAGGGGTGGGATTAGAGGAGGAATCAGTGGGAGAACAGGGTTTGGATGACAGAGAGTAGGAAAGGATTTTTTTGGTTGAGATGGAAAAGAATTCAGGAGTCATAGTGCTCACTTAAGATCAAAAATACAAGCCTGCCATTCAACAAGTGTCCACATTCCTATGAGGAATATACTTAACTTCACTGATTTCCTAAGAATACTGATAGATCTCTCTGTTTTCTTTTATAGGTGGCTTTGAGTCCCGTCCTTTGGTGCGGGGTGTACAGGGCAGAAGTGTCAGCATGAAAGCTTCTCCCAGTAAAGCCAAGATGGCAGTTCCTAAGCCCATGCCTTTGCGCTGGTCCTTCATCTCCAAAGAGTGGTCAACAGAACCTTCTGGGGAACTTGTAGAGTACCTGGAATCTGGCCGTAGGCCCCGGTTTACAAATGAGCCCATTGTTCCTCTTATGACCAAGGAAGGGGAGGACAACAAAGCCAAACAAAATCATGTGCTGACAGGCCCGGGGATAACTGAGAACCCTGGGAAACCATGCACGATGGTGGAAAACCCAAGTACTCTGAAAAGGTCTGGAAAACCAAAGGAGGATGTAGGCGAACAGCCACGGACACCCAAGAAACTGGTGCTTTCTCTCAGTACAGTACCTCCAATAAAAGATGAAGAGCTCAAGAGCAAAGCTAACAAAAATGGGACTTTGCGCACGGGGATAAACCTCCCTCTCTCTAGCTGTCAATCCATGGGCAGGCTGCTCTCCGACCCAAAGGTGGGTGAGAAGGAGCCAGAGGGCAAGAGGCAGCCAGAGGGAAAGCTTGCTGTCTTCAGAACTGGCTTTCTGCGGAGGGATCCCAAGCGTCACAGTGAATCTGACAGGCATGGAGTCATGACACCATCCATGGCCTCCTCTCGGTCATCCCTCTCCAATGGGACTTTGACTTCTATCACTGGCATCAGGGCAAGTAGTACTCTGGGTCGCAGGTCTGCAGAAGGATTGCCCAGTGGACGGATCTGCCGTTCTGAGATGGACATCAAGCGTGCTCAGAGCTCCTGCAGTAGCAAAGGAAGAAATGAATATTGGCTAAACAGGTCGGCCACCCTTTACAAGGCAAACAACAACATCTCCTTGCAGGGTTGCACACCACCACTAACTCTGGAGGGGGTTTCGTGTGGCACTTTCCAGCGAGCCAGATATCACACAGCCTCCCTGGGCAGGCGAATCCCTGTACCAGAATCCAGCTTCTGAGCTAGTCTGATGTTCCATCCAAACAGTGGCAGCCCTTGTAAGGTCTTGGGAACGTCAGATAAAATCTGTTGGTTGCTGGAAAACTTGGTGGGTGCTTGCTTCCCAGGGGGATTTCTCTCGGCCAGGCTTCATCCATCTTAAGGGTGCTCTTTGACACCATTGCCTTGTCTGGGAATGTAGATGCAACAGAGATTTGTGGACTATGAGTTCAGAATTAGTGAGAGAGAGAAATGTCAGGAGTATGGTAGAATTAAAGTATTTATTCTATACAGTGAGGTAGCTTAACCGATACTAATGAGAGGATGTGTTGTTTTGTGACAGCAGTTATTTTGGTACCAAGTTGTGTTGAGAAGAATATGGGGGAAGAATCTTGTTGCTCTATGCAATAATCCCAACTTTTCTATTTTCTGCAGACATTTGGGTTTTACAGATATATTTGTTATTAAAATTGTCTCAAATGACGGGTCAAAATGGATGGTTTTGGAAGTCAAGGGTGGAAATGGGTGTCAGCCAATGATGTCAATCAGGGTAACGCTCAAGCAAGAGAAAGAGCTAACCACCTTCACTGACGGGCTGAGCTGCTATGTCTACCTGCAATGTTGCAATCTTTAAGAAACAAAGGGAAAAAAGAACCTATGGAGCAACACTGGCCATTTCATGAAGAATCTTCCCACATTCCTTGGATCAGCCCAGATCCAAGGAATGGGGACGTCCAGATGTGTTATCATCCTGTGGGAGGTTTTCTCATGTCCCCACATGGGAAGCTGGGGCTGACAGATGGCAACTCACCTTGTCTTGCAGATTCAAACCGCCAACCTTCAGATCTTTAGGTCACCCTCCCTTCCCCTACAAGCAGACATGCAAGTATATTTTCTCATACAAAAACATTTTCTTGAACCATCTAATCAGTTTTAAGCCTTCTGGGAAAGATTGACTGATATGCTTAGTAACATCTACATCTGTGGTTCTAAACATTTGGTCCTTCATATGTTTGAAATATCAGACTTTATTGCCAGTTCTGGAAGCAGAAGTTCAAAATATTTGAAAGCCTGAATGTTGAGAACCCCCAGACACTACACAGATGGTTTCACAGAGGGCCTCATTGACATCCAAAAAAAGAAGAAGAAGAAAAGGGGGTTTCAGGAAAAGAGGAGATAAGTGAGCAAGGGCAGAGTGTTATGAAAAGGCAGGATGGCTTTTGGATAGAGAGTAGAAGATCAGTGACCTCAATCTATTGTGATATAATAGTATGGAAGGCAATAGCGGCATTTGAAGGTAATGGTCTTGAATTAGTATAAAGTTCAAGAGCTATGTTTTAGACAGAGAAAGAGGTGAATGACTGGGCAGATTTTTTTTTTTCATGTCAGAAGTCATTTCTGGTGTGAGAGAACTGACTGCAAGGATGTTGCCCAGGGGATGCCTGGATGTGTTATCATCCTGTGGGAGGCTTCTCTCATGTCCCCACATGGGGAGCTGGGGCTGACAGATGGAAGCTCACCTTGTCTTGCAGATTCAAACCGCCAACCTTCAGGTCTTTAGGTCACCAGTTCAGCCGGCACAGGGGTTTAATCCATTGCACCACCGCAGCTACCAGAATTTTGGTTAAATTTCAAGAGCAAAGTGAGACAACAGAAGGTAATGGAGAAGGTTGCAGTGGCAAATTTAGGATTACTCGAATGCCAACAAAAATTTTCACTTAAAAAGACAGAAGATGTGCTATATTTTCATATCACTGGATTAACTAGAGAAAATAAAAGAAATGAAGGAAAGTTGAGACCGTTTTTAATCTCATTAAGAGGAAGTGTTGGCCATGGCCTAAATCCACTTTCTAGTCCCAGCTAGAATAAATATATTAAATCAGGATCTGAATGGTAAAGCAATAGTGACATAAATTGCTTCCTTGGAGTTTTTGTAGTTGGAAATAGCAGTTGGATTTAGCCCATTAGTGGTTTAGTCTTGGCATTTGAGCTTGAGATGACAATAAAACAATTATAATTAATAGGCTGATTGTGGGATGGAAGGGTAGGGGAGAGTTTTGGGATAGAGAGGTAGAACTGAAGTGCCCCAGATATAGTGGCCATATAAAGATAAAGAAGGAGTCCAAGAAGAGATCCTGAGAACTTTAATGGGATGAAAGCAGAGACAGACTGTTAGTATGGGAGTGAGATGTAATGTTTACAGGTAGGAAAAGAACCAGATAACTGTCCCTTTGCATGTATAACTTGACTTTCCCTAATTTCTGACAATACTTTGCAAATATCTATTCTACACCAGCCCCTTAGTGCTTGTTGCTCTTCAGTTTCCCTATTGGGACACCTTCAAGGTCTCACCCACAACCATGCAGGAAAGAATTGTGAAGACCAGAGGTAGATAAGAAGCTCTGTTGCTTGGAAAGAATCAAGTAGGAGAGGCTGAACAGCTGTCTCTGGGCTTGCAGGGTGGCTATACAAAATGAAAACAAAAGTCTTTAGAATTTGCAGTCTGGAGATCAGTAGTGGTTTGGGAGACTGTAATTTCAGTCAGTCAGTAGCCTTTATTTTGGTCAACAAACCATCAGCTAAGTCAAGTGAGGTCACAAAGAGTCGGAAGTGACTAAGTCAAGTGAAAGAATGATGGAATTCAACACTTGAATAATTAATAACATCACATTTGGCTTATAATTAATGGTAACAAGTATTCACTATCGATTGAAACTTCAAATTTTGACTGTAATTTCTGTTCAACATAGGTCGGCAAAATCACATTTTAGAGAGCCGAGGGAGAATGTTTAAAAGATGCAAACTTTAGACAACATAAGCAAGTGGCACACTCCAGAGCACATCCATGTGTGGTACTGCTGTAGTCTTTCTTTTTTAAAAATAGAACACACTCTGAATAGTTCTGCAACTATGTAGAAAGCTACTATGCATATCGTACAGTTTGAAGGTTTTTGCTGTATGCCCTATGGTTTCATAATCTACCTCAGCATCAGTGAAGCAAAAGCCATCCCTTTGAAAATCCTCAGATCCTGCTTCTTCACTTCTTAGGCTGTGTGTATGAAGCTTTGGACTCATTAACCTGCTGTCATGAGCTAGTCAACCGTACCATGGCTGCTCCCTTCCCAGACTGCTGCACACCAAAGCCTGGTCGGTGTGGGGGACGGGATGAATTATCTCCCACTCCTTGGGGGCTCTTTTTGTTAAGCCATTGCCTAGCAACTTCCGCAGGAATGGAGCAAGCGATGGCGTCCTCCCAGGCAGCCAGCAGTGTTTCATATGAGGAGACAGATGACTTCATCTTCCAAGAGAGGAGCTCAGTGTATCAACTGCTATTGGAGAGACAGAGAGAGGCTGGGAAGGTTTGTGCTGGATTGAGTGGGACTTTGGAAAAGTACTGGGTTGCTGTGCATTTTCCAGGCTGTATGGCCATGTTCTCTGCTGACATTTCACATGCAATCTATGGCAGGCATTCTCAGAGGTTGTGAGGTCTGTTGGGGGCACGGAATGGATCCTCAGTTGTCACAGTTGGACACTTCTCAGCTCTTGTTTGACATGGCAGCAGTCTAGGGATCTGTTTTCCACACATATGAACTCTAATTCAGCTAGACATGAATAACATTGGATAATTGCACTGGAGCAAAGAAAAATCAGACAAGTTACTTTAGTTATGGCGCTCCATGCAGTCATGGTAGCCACATGACCTTTGAGGTGTCTATGGACAACGCTGGCTCTTTGGCTTAGAAATGGAGATGAGCACCAACCCACAGAGTCTGACATGACTTGACTTAATGTTGGGGGGAAACCTTTACCTTTACTTTTACTTTATTTTAGTTAAAGTATATGTTGAATATGTTTAATGTTTAGTTCCATTCCTATAGTGGCCTGCAAAGACTGTTCTGTGTCATTTCATTCTTAACACAGAGGACAGTGTATCTTGCCTCATGGGTTATCTTTAGGGACTCAAATCATCTCCATACAAGGAATAATTGCAAACATAAGGGGGGGGGGGGTAAAATTGGCTTAGAATTGGCTATGCAGCAAGGGCAAGAACCACACACAAAGCAAAAATGACTGTTTGCAGGCACTGTCAAAAGACATTGTGCAGCTTTTTAATCTTTCTCCAATTAATAATATATTCTTTGTTAGAAAAAAGAACGAAAGGGTGATGGAAAATACAGCAGGATTATAACAAGAAGAGTTCTTGATCCCCTGTAAACTCCTTATATTGCACAGTTACTCCACCCAATACTGAAAATGCAGCTTTCTCCCTCCCTCCCTGAAATTTTAACAAACAAGATTGCAACATCGGGGGGGGGGGGGGATCTTGGTGAGATGAAGAATCCCATAATCTGAAGGAGAGATTAAGGGCCTCAAATCTTTCGTGTGCATGATTAATATTGTATGTTTGCCGAGGATGGAATACCATGCTGGATCATAGAATATATTTCATGTATAAGTTGTGGGAAGGTTTGGGGCAAAATTATGGATTTTGATTTGACCCATGGATGAGTCAAGTGTTCTGTGGAGAGGAGAAATCATCAATGGGGTCTCAGGACCAGCCACTCCTGACCAGTGCCACCCTTTTCCTGTCCAGGCATTCAAAAAGGTCAGAGGCAGCACCACAATGGAGAAAAAAGAAAGTGTCAGTGCTTCTGTTAGTGATGGACTATGCTCTTCCCTATCGCCGCTAAAACCATAGAAGAGAATGGTTCCTTTTTAAAAAGGAGTTAAGAGTTACTTACACTGACCCTTCAATAAATCTACTCAGATTTTTTGAGTTAAGTTTTGGTTAAAATTTCCTAGATATATACATAAGTATTTAGAGTAATCACAAATGGGGGATCCAAGGAAGGAACATTTCAAAATAACCTGGCAAGGATAATACCTGGCATAGGTCCATTTGCCAACATGGTGTCATACACATTTGCAATTTATTCTAGTATGCTTTAGGCCTCTGAGAAATACTATTGGGATCTTTGAAGTGGCTTTCACCCAAAAGTGCACATTTCCACTTTGTAGAATTCGAATCTGAAATTGATCCTCCTTTGATCATTGCACTGAAGAAGTCAAGAGCCATTTTCTGCCATTCACAGTTTCTGATTTCTCTCTGGTGTGTAATACCATTTGCTTTATACTCAACAAATGTACATTTTTAAAAGGGGGAAATGTACATTTGTCATGCATAACACAACTCAAGTTCATCTCTTGCTGATACGAATAGCTATGGACTATTGCTGAAGGGCACATCTACCTGTTCTAATGCTGTATCTTTCTCCTGCCCCATATTGTCTTTTGCTTGTGAGTGAAGAGAAATAATCCAAACAAGGAAGCATCAATCTTAGAGAGGAAGCGGGGCGGGCAGGGGAGATGTGATATTGAAGATGGAATATTGGGCATTAAATCAATCTCATACCCACTGGAAATCACAAGCTGTCATCCAATGTCATCCATTTCCTTTATTCGGGCATTGGAATTAAGCTTACATAACTATCTGTCTAATGAAACTGAGTATTTCCCAGTCTACCACTCACAGCTTTTGGCATATAAGACCTGTGCATTTTCAGGAACAAGACTGGGAATTAACCAGAAGTCTTTGAATGCAAAGGCACACTAAGACATTCTTAACAGTGTTTACCAAGCCAATAGGTAGCAGTGTTTACAAATCATTTTCACATGGGAGAAAAAATGAGAAGGGGGATGTAATCCAAATTCATAAATATCCATAGCAGCTGTTTTATGTGCTTGTATTCAGGTTCCTTGAAAGTGAAAGAAGCCACAAAGAATTGTGTTGTCCTATGTTGGACAACATTGCCGGCACTACATCAAAAAGGAACAGCCCAGGAATCCCCACATGGATTAGAAACACCCTCCCCTCCACACACACACACACACTTTAAGGACTGGAATATGGCCATTTGGGCTGGGGCTGGTGTGAGTTTTGGTCTCATATATGAAGGTTATGGGAGGCTACTTTCCAGAATCACAGGCGTGTGGTATATTAGTGAGGGGGGGGGGGGCACTCAAACACATGTCTGAAGAGATTGTTAACCCTGGTGACCAGCAAAATGTGACTTACATTAGAGAACTACAGCTTTTGAAAGAGAAGCAACCAGAACTGTTTTATGTCACTCTTCATTTACTATATATAGAGACATCATGCTACCTTGCTAAAGAAAAGAGGATGGAGGTGAGAGTGAGATGTGGCCTAAACACACAAGTGCCTTCCAGTTAATCCACCTGAGGGGCGACAACACAATAAGAATTTCTTTCCAGAAAAAAGAGCTGCACTTCTGAAATGCCATTGTAAGGTCAGGGGAGGGCAGGGTTGTTGGGTGTCAAAGTTGCCAGAGCAACAGCCACCCTATCCAGCAAACCTGCCAGTGGAAAATGCCGAAGAACAATGCATATTTGAATGCCAAATGGGCCTGCTTGGCACAGCTTATAAAGACACCCAAGTTTGTCAACAAATGGCTTTGTTTGCCCAGAATATTGCCGCAAGGGCAATGCAGACTGTAACATTACCCAGATGGCTCGTCTGATTTATTCATTGTGCCACAAGCCTCGTCTCCCGGTACCAGAACCTTGGAATCCAGGCTGAAATGTCCTCATTCAAAGTAGGCACTTCAGCATTGCGGTATTATGATAAGAAGTTCACTAAGGTTTGGGAGAGGCAGGAAACATCCTCATCATCATCATCTGAGGAGAGGGTAACCTTTCTTGATCAGCTCCTTCAGAAGAGAATACACGAGGGTAAAGAGGTAAGTGATAGCTTGTAGCAGTTGGAGGGCAGCCATTTGAAGATGAACCTGAATTGGGGAAGGGGAAGAATAGCAGGCAAAGGGTACACAGGCTGAATGAACATTTCTTTAGATGCCATAGCAAGTATAACACAGCCTTGGCCACAGAGATATTTAGCTTCAGTTTTTGTTCCATGTAGTTATGAAAATATCCTTGCATAGAGTTCCATAGAACAAAGACCACAGTTCTTGAAGAATCTTTATAGTGGCATCTGCTGAATGGACAGAAAAGTGAATATTCTCCCCCTTCCTGTATCCCTCTTATTTAATACCCTTTTCATACAAATACATACATTCTTTTTTGTTTTTCAAATTATAATCGGGCCCTCCAACAGTTTGAGGGACTGTGACCTGGCCCTCTTTTAAAAAAGTTTGAGGACCCCTGATCTAGAGCAACACTGTGAATTGTGCCCAGAAATAGACTGGCAGCCATTGGAGTTGCTGTAACGGGGTGGGGGTGGGTGGGTTGTGTTGTGTTGTCCGCTCCCTTTAGCCAGCCCCAGTGAGCAACCTGGTTACAGCTCTTTGGACCGGATGAAGTTTCCAAGCACTCCTAGAGGCAGCCCCACATAGGGCCTGTTACAGTAATCCAGACAGGGTTAACTAAGGCATGTACTAACATGGCCAGATCTGGCATCTCAAGAAATGGGTATGTTTGGCACACAAGTTTTAATTGTGCAAAGGCCCTCCTGGCTACCATCGAAACCTGGGCCTCCAGGTTCAGCATGGAGACCAGAACAACTCTCATGCTGTGGACCTGTGTCTTCAGTGGAAGTGTAACCCCATCCAGCACAGCTGAATCCCCTGATCTGCCTTCCAACTGTCCAGGGGTAACTATGTCTTGTCTGAATTGGGTTTAAATTTGTTTGTCCCCATCCAGTCTATTACTGATGACAGGCAATAGTTCAGGGTCAGGACAACTTTCTTGGTACTGTACTCCAAAACTCCATATGACCTCTCCCAGTGGTTTCCTGTATATGTGGAACAGCATGGGGGACAATTGGAAGCCCAAGCAACCCCGCAGGTCAACATCTGGGAGTTTGAATAGGAGTCCCACAGTACCACCTTTTGGATACAGATCTCCAGGAATGACTGGAGTCACTGTAAGACAGTGTCTCCCAGTCCCAACCTGGTGGGTCAACCCAGAAGGATACCACAGTCAATATTGGACTAAGAAACCAAGAGACCAGGGTTTGGATTCCTGCTCAGCCATGGAAACCCATTCAATGACCTTGGATAAGTTATACATTCTAAGGGGACGGCTAAGTAAACACCCCTCTGAACAAACATTGCCAAGAAAGCACTGTGACAGCTTTACCTTAGGGTACTGTAAGTTAGAAATGATTTAAAGGCACACAGAAGCAAAGCAATCATGTCTGAGTAAGATTGTTTTCCAGAGGATAGAGTCTTGATGGTAGATCTGTAAATGACTGTCTAGACCTCTTCTGGCTCCACATGGTCTTTCACACTGAAGAACAGCAATGGAACGAACCTTCCAGGACTGGAAAACTGTCGTCCACACAGAGACACATTTTTGCACTGCCACAAGTTCTGTAACATAGTTTCGCCAAGGTTATTGCTGATTCAGTGTGCCAACTCTTATTGCTACTTCTCTTAATTCCTTGAAAAGATCTAAACTTGGATTTCCCAACCAGGGCGCCTAAGAACCCTTGGGTTATGCAAGAAATCACTAGAGTTCCACAAGAAATTATGATTGGGAAAAAGCTGTAGATACTATTTTTATGCAAGGTGTCCCTAAGCATCCCTCCAAGGTTTCCTCCAGTATAAAAAGGTTGAGAAAAGTTGCTCTATATATTAATGTGCCCCCCAACTGTGAATATGTGGCTCAGCATACTAGCCAGTAAACTGAAAACTAGCAACAGATGTCATGTTTTATGCAACTGAAAAAATACACATTACATGTTGCAAAGAAAAGTGGTGGTTTTTTTACAAAAAAGTGCTTCTTCCCAAGAAAAACAACATTGATATCAAATGTTTCCAATGTGCAATTATGAGGTAAGTTGACTTCTGATCCACAGAAGTCTTTTTGTCACTTAAAACAAGCATCTTATGCTATTAAATGTAAATATATGTAAGGAAAAATGTCTTTACCTACAGGATGTCCAGAATACACAAAAATAAAAGGAGCAAATAATCCATTTTAAAATTGACAATGTATGTTACAGACCAGCCTGGTGTGTCTTTGCAACCTGAAACACTATGATAGCACATGATAAAACAAACATGTTAAAGTTAAGTCTGGCAATAGGAACCACTGGAGATTTATTTAATAAAGGTGATACTTGGATTCAATAAATGAGAAAGGTTCACTAATGGCTTCTTACCATCTAAAAAGATAATTTTCCGTTTATATTGAAATAAATGGATAAATACAGCTGGATAGTGTGAGAGCCGTGTAAGTTTAAGGTGGCATTCCTAGCTACATTTACTCAGGAGTTATTCCTAAGCTTAGAGTCAGGTTGCAACTGGTATCCTCCTAGGTTGTATAAAGCATATTTTGTACTAACACTTAAGATTCAAGTGCAAGTGTAATGAAACCTCAGCATGGAGCATGCAAGAAGGCTGAATTACTTGACAAAAGCTGACACCAGAATGTTTGCAGAAAATGCACATGATCCTGTTGCAACTAGACCATAAACATTTAGGTACCCATAAGTCCATTGATATCAGTGGGTGCAAAGCTCCATCAGTCTGGTCACTGAGCCCCAGACTGGGACACGACCGTCTATCATCCACTGAACTGCGAGTCAGCCACATTACATTCAAACCAACCTCTACCTGAGAAAACATGCACAGAATTGTATTGTATGAATCAGAGGCTTTCAAGACTTAGAACAGGCAAGCATGGAGAAAACACAGACATTTGTTCTTTCTCTATATATTTATTTTTACATATTTAACTGAAATATTTATATAGCAGATATCGTTCTTGCATAATACATGCCTATGGAGGACCAATGGTGGCATACATTTCCACACAGGTCATCATCAAAATCGATTGCTGTCTTAATAAAAGGCAGCAGAACCCTGAAGGAAAAGTCTTTTGACGAAGCTTGCCGGGAATGGTCATGTTTGTCATATAACAAAATACAACAAATCCCAAAATCTACAAAAAAGCAATACCCTTATGTGCCAACCAAAATGCATCCAACAACTTAGAGCTTTTTCTCCTGTGTGGTTTTTAAACATTTTTTTCTGATGAAGAAGCAAATGAAGTTTGGAAAGATTGCATGCTGCATTTTCCGTACTTTGGTTCGCCAATAAAGGTATCTCTGATTTTTGGGTTTTACTGTATTTTGCTGAAGGAAAAGGTGTCTCACACCTCCTGACCACTGGACCAGGCATAGCATAGCCATCAAAGTAGTCATTTAACTGCTATATCCGGGAAGAGCACGGATGAGCTCCCTCTGTCAGCTCCAGCTCAACCTCGCGGGGACATGAGAGAAGCCTCCCATAAGGATGGTAAAATATCAAAACATTGGGCAACGTCCTTGCAGATGGCCAAGTCTCTCACACCAGAAGTGACTTGCAGTTTCTCAAGTCGCTCCTGGCATAGAAAACAACAACAACAACAACTGCTATATCACCTTAAGAATGTTATATGTCATAAAGAATGAAGTCTATATCACTCAGGAGGAGGTCATATGGCCACATACAATAGGAAATAATGTATGTCCTTAAAAGAGACTTGATATCTGATTTTATCCCAAGACATAAAGCGTCATTGATGCATCAGAAGTAGTTTTGTTTTGAAAAAGGGATCTGTTGGCTATTTGTATTTTAGTCTGTCGTAAAATATAGCCAGGAAAAGAAACAATTTTAGCCTGCCATAAAATATGGAAGAAAAAAACCATTGTTATTAGACACATCTAGAAAGTTATTTCATTGTCAAGAAGGATATCTAGATATTAATGAAACATATTTTTTCTTGCCAAAAATAAAATCAAATAGTACTATATATTTAGCGATTGTGTCAAAACATGTCATGTTTATGGTTCTTTTCAGAGATTTTGTTGCTAAGGTTTATAAATACTCTGTGCGCATAGGGGGATGTCTTCATGAGATTGGCCCTCTCTTTGTGTGAATAATTTGATGTCAATAAGGCTAATGAAATCCTCATTCATATTCATTTAGAACCAAATCAGAAGCTTTGTGGTGTTCTGAAGTGGTCTTCCCTTAAGCATTCCCTGTACAATAAGACATGTTTTTCTCTCTTTTGTTTTGTGATTGATCATTGGAAGGTAAACACAGGCTTAATTGGCACACTTTGATTGGTGAGGCATATGAAGCAATCCCAAAGTAAAGTGTGCTGATCAGAGCAATGCACATTCCCCTTAACATCTCAATTTGGCCCTTAAACTGTTTAACAGAACTCCCAAAGAGGATTGTGTCTTTACTACATCATGGACAAATCTACACAATCAATAACATCTCTTGTTTGGTAACTATCACTAGAAGTAAGAACAGATTGACTTTTTTTCTTTTGTTTGTTTTGTCACCTTTAGAAATCTCTGCTCCACAGACTGGTCCTCCTTGCCAAGATTTCTCCGGACCTGGCTGATAAAAGGGATTTAGCTGGTAAGGAAAACTGAGCTGGTTGCTGGCTCCTTCAGGGTGACTGATGGAACGGATTAGAACAAAGATCCCAAGCCTTTGTTGAATTTACTCCATATTACCCATGTTGGGTGATTGCTGCAAATATCTGGGAACCACAAATGAAAAGAGCAATAGTATATGTGAATATACAGACTTATTTTATAGAGAGGAAGCCTGTTTTGCTCACCATAAGCAAGCAACTTCATGCAGCAACTGTACAGCTTGCATCAACATTAGGTAAGTGTGGTGTTTTCCTCAGGCAGTAGACGACAGGAGGCAGCCAGGTAGAGGAGAGCCCACTACTTTCAGATAGACTAGCAAATCTTGAAAATTCAAGTAATTAAAGAAAAATCCAACTACTGGCACTCTTATTCAAGTTCTGTGCAGTTGGCTCTTCATTCTGCATCCATGGATTCAACCATTCAAGGCTTGAAAAATATTTTGTAATAATTCAAAAAAGCAAGCCTTGAGCTTGCCATTTTATATAAAGAGGGGGGTATTTAATAGTATCTTTCTATATAATGGGACTTGACCAACCATGGATTTTGGTATCCACACCAAGCCCCAGCAGATACCGAGAGCCCACTGTACATGGAATGGGAGACGGTGCCTTTTTGACATTCACCTTGAGCAGCAAAGTATCTTACAACTTCATCAGATGAGGGTAGTATTGGCATCATGCTACACTTTACCTTCCCTTTAAGCACAGCCCACYGGCACCAATTACACGATGCACAGGTACTTCCAGTGGGGCTCCATGCTTAAAGGAAAGTGGAGCATGCTGCCATGGCAGCAACACAGGATGCTTACCATGTTTCCACTATGAAGAGGCAATCAACACCCCCCCCCCCCCATGGTGAACTGGGTGAGTTGGGTGATGCAGGGTGTGGGGTGAAGAGTTCCCCATGCCCCTCGATGAGCATCACCAGAACTGCCACAATGCCTGGTGAATCTGGAAGCATTTGTGATGAGGTTGTTGGATTGGCTCTGGGCAAGTGGTACTTTGAAGTACTGTGGCTGAGAATAATAGGACAGAGGAGGATAATATGGGCTTAGAATAAATAAATATTCAGCCAGAGATACGGTCTTTCTAAAACAACAAAACAAATAAAAATGCCCTTATATAAGCATGGGAAATCTGTGGCCCCAGTGATTCTCATTGTTTCAAGTTCCTGTTTCTCTCTAACCTGCTCTTAGTTTTGCCTCATAGCAAATACACCTGTGGAGGGTGGGCAAAGAGGCCATTGCATCTGCAGATATGTGATTCATCTGTCATTAAGCTATGCCTACTGTGTTGTGGTAGATTATACAAGGAATATTTCATTTCTCCCCAGAGTATTGGGAACAACTGTTTGTGAAGCTGCAACACTCTTATTTTCAAAGTGAGGGGATCACAGGCCTGCTGCTGCTTTATCCCACATACATTGTACACATCTTAGAGGTGAGTACTCCATCTTTTTCTCCCCCTCTCTCTGTTTCCATCTTCTTTTCTCTCTCTCTGTAAATGAGACACACGGGGAAGCAGCATGCAAAATCATTCCAGTATGAGAGAACTGTCAAGATGCAGTTCAGGTTTGGGAATGACTCATGGCTCACTTTCCTCAGGCTGCCAAAACAATTAATCGTGCCTACAGGTAGGGAAGACTCATCCTTAGCAGGCTGAGATGAATCTGAGGTGAAGTCGCACAACTGTGGGATCAGGGCAGGCATGAAGAGGGCAACTGAGCACAGCAATTTAGAGAAGTGAGACATGCAGCTTCAGAAATGGCTGATGGAAAGCGGGGTGGGGGGTGGGGGGGGGGAGAAGCAGCTTTGTCCCTTTTTGGCAGATGACCACAAAGTAAACAAGCAAGGAGACCAAAAATAACCACAGCGGACAACCTGACTCACATAGCCATTTGTGGAAATTGGCTTTCAAATCTTTTATTCTTCTCTGCCCCCTGTATTTGAAAATTTATGCTCAGAGCCTAAAAGTTTGTCACTATGGAGACATAATTCCATTTTGGATTTTGGACTGAACCTTAAAGGAGCTCTCCAAAATGCCAGGCCCTATCCATCGAATACTTGCTTACTAAGTCAGCATCCATACTAACTCTATATGTGTATATGTGTCTTTGTCACCTGTTGAATTATGGAACCCCATTAATTTCATAGTATTTTCTTAGGCAAGAACTATTCAGAAGTGGTTTTGCCAGTGTCTTCCTCTGAAATATCGCCTAAGGCACCTGGTTTATGCTAGTGATATCTCATTCAAATACTAACCAGGGCTGATCAGCTCACTCCAGTCTACTTATGTAAGTGATTCTGCACCCTTACCAACTGTAGTTCAGCGGGACTTTCCTTTTCAGACTCCGTCTGCCCGTTCATTGGTTGCCTCAGAGAGAGAAGCAGTCTTTCTGCACAATCTGCTTCTTCCCCATCATTGGTCTTTTGTGAGCAATTTAAAGGCAGCCTCTCATTGTCTGTCACTATGGCAATAAAACACCCAAGAGTCCTTTGAAGTAGTGAGCTGAACTGAACATAGTTTGACAAGAAATCTCCTTGGTCCTTTGGAAACCTTGCTTCCTCCAACTGGTCCTGCTAATCCTGTAATCAAAATTCCTGCTCCATGGATTTGCAGAGGTCGGTGCTGGTTCAGGGGTAACTTCCGCAGCATCTCAGTTGGGCTGTTTCCTAATTCCACCATTTGCCTATTGTATGCAAAACAGAAGGCTTACTAAGGCCTCTTCTACACTGTCCTTATATCCCAGGATCTGATTGCAGGTCATCTGCTTTGAACTGGATTATATGAATCTCCATTGCCATATAATCTGGGATAAGCAGATAATCTGGGATCAGATCCTGGGATAGAAGGACAGTGTAGAAGGCACTTAAGAATGAAGGTCATGCTTGACCTTGGGTGTGTGTGTGAAAGAATGGCTGCGAGTCATGAATTTGAGGTGGGACCTGAAATCCTGTTAACATGGTCCTTTGCTCTAGTTTTGTGGTTGCTTGTTTGACCGGAGACCTCAAAACACTATGTAGTCATATGTGCTTCCTCCTGGCATGTGAAATATATGATGGATTTCTGTGGCCCAGTACAGCAACCATAGCCAGTATTATTATTTATCGTGTCATCAGCAACCATTGTATTACAATTCTAACAGAGCAAAACAAACACAGAGATTAAAAAGAAAAAGAAAAAAAAAGAAAGAAAAAAACACACAGATTTTGTAAATTTGGTATTTGGTTAAATGTCTTTGACCAGTATCTGGCCACTTGGAGTGCCTCTGGGGTTGCCGCAAGAAGGTCCTCCATCGTGCATGTGGCAGGGCTCAGGTGCATTGCAGCAGGTGGTCAGTGGTTTGTTCTTCTCCGCACTCGCATGCCGAGGATTCCACCCTGTAGCCCCATTTCTTAAGGTTGGCTCTGCATCTCGTGGTGCCAGAGCGCAATCTGTTCAGCGCCTTCCAAGTCGCCCAGTCTTCTGAGTGCCCAGGGGGAGTCTCTCATCTGGTATCACCCATGAATTGAGGTGCTGGGTTTGGGCCTGCCACTTTTGGACTCTCGCTTGCTGGGGTGTTCCAGCGAGTGTCTCTGTAGATCTAAGAAAACTATGTCTTGATTTAAGTCGTTGAGGTGCTGGCTGATACCCAAACAGGGGATGAGCTGGAGATGTCTCTGCCTTGGTCCTTTCACTATTGGCTGCTACTTCCCGGCGGATGTCAGGTGGTGCAATACCGGCTAAGCAGTGTAATTTCTCCAGTGGTGTGGGGCGCAGACGCCCCCGTGATAATGCGGCATGTCTCATTAAGAGCCACATCCACTGTTTTAGTGTGTGAGATGTGTTCCACACTGGGCATGCATACTCAGCAGCAGAGTAGCACAGCGCAAGGACAGATGTCTTCACTGTGTCTGGTTGTGATCCCCAGGTTGTGCCAGTCAGCTTTCGTATGATGTTGTTTCTAGCGCCCACTTTTTGTTTGATGTTCAGGCAGTGCTTCTTGTAGGTCAGAGCATGGTCCAAAGTGACTCCCAGGTATTTGGGTGTGCTGCAATGCTCCAGTGGGATTCCTTCCCAGGTAATCCTCAGAGCTCGGGATGCTTGTCTGTTCTTAAGGTGAAAGGCGCATGTCTGTGTTTTAGATGGATTAGGGATCTGGTTTTCCCTGTAATAGGCAGTAAGAGCACCTAGAGCTTCGGAGAGCTTCTGTTCAACCATCTCAAAGCTCCCTGCTTGAGCAGTAATGGCACGATCATCAGCATAGATGAAACTCTCTGTCCCTTCTGGCAGTGGCTGGTCATTTGTGTAGATGTTGAACATGGATGGAGCAAGCACGCTCCCCTGAGGCAGGCCGTTATTCTGTTTCCGCCATCTGCTTCTCTGGCCCTGGAACTCAACAAAAAAGCTCCTGTTTTGTAGCAGGTTTCCTATGAGGCGGGTGAGGTGGTAGTCCTTTGTGATATTGTACATTTTTCTCAGGAGGAGGCGGTGGTTCACAGTATCATAGGCTGCTGACAAGTCTATGAAGACAGCTCCTGTGATCTGCTGCCTTTCAAAGCCATCTTCTATGTGCTGGGTCAGGTTCAGCACTTGCGATGTGCAGCTTTTGCCTTTTCTGAAGCCAGCTTGCTGTGGGATCAGACAGGGGTCTATATTTTCCATAATTCTATGCAAAATAAGTCTCTCCAGAACTTTGTAGAGGTGGCACAACAGGGAGATTGGTCTGTAGCTTTTTGGGTCATTACGGTCTTTGCCTGGCTTCAAGATGGCGATGACTCTTGCTTTCCTCCAGATTTTGGGGATCTGACAGGATGCAGTGCAGTTGTTCATCAGCTCCAGCAGCCAGCGCCTTGCTTTTGGACCAAAGTTCTTGATTTGTTCCATCCGTAGATCATCCAAGCCAGCTGCTTTGCCATTCTTACATTTGTTGAGAGCCATGTCCAATTCAGTAGATGTAAAGGTGTCCTTACATCTTCACGATTGGTATCATTGTATTGGTTTCTTTCCTACTTTGGTGGCAAGGTTGGGTTTCCCATTCTTCAAGAGTTGGTGTGCTATCTGATTTGCCTTTATGTTGGCATGGGTATTAGTTTGTGAGGGATCGTTGCTCAGCCGTCTCAGCAGCCTCCACGCCTTCTGGCTGCTCCTGCCCATGTCGACCTCTGTGATCAACTTGATCCACTGTTCTTTCTTGGCTTCAGAGATGGAGGGCACAATGCTCTGTGCTGCCTGAAGAGTCTGCTCACTGAAGTAGAGGCAACTACCAGAGACCATAGCCAGTGAACTTTCCTTTCATAGGAGAGATTCCAGGTGACGTTTTAAATGTATGATCTTCCCTCACCAATTTCTCAGAGATAGAACTGAATCCAAGAGCTTCCACATGTAAAGCTTCTGCAGAGCTATGGAACAACAGTCTAATTCTGCTCTGCCAAAGTGCTCAGTTCCCAACAACAGGCTGCTGGGAGTTCACCTCCTGTTTGCAGTATTTCTGCAATACTCTGACATTGCTAGTTTTTAAAAATCAGATTTATTCCTTGTCTTTCAGTCGTCCAGTGATATGCTTTATACTGTTCTGCGGGACCTGAGGGACATGGAGCAGCAGCAAAGGTGAGCAAATGGCTAGAAGAACCTTGACAGGTCTGGTTGCCAGATGAACAGTTTTTTCCCAACCTTGTGCCAGATGAACAGTTTTTTCCCAACCCTTTTCCTGCCCAGATGTCTTGGGCCCATTGTTGAGGATAATGGGAGTTGTAATCCAAAGCATCTTGAAGGTGTCAACTTGGTGAAGGTTACCATAGAGTAATTCTGATGAATAGGACATTGTCTGAAGGACACAAGAAAAACAGCATTGGGATTTGGAACCCAAAGCAGCATGTAAGTTCATGGTACAAAAGTTAAAGACACATTCAACAGTCCAGACATTAATTCAAATGTTATTTAGATATTTTAAATTGATCTAGGTTTTTTGGGTTTTTTTTGTTTTTTTGCTTTGAGCAAATTCTTGTTCAGTCATCTAGCTTGCTGGACTGATACCAACTTTAGTTTGAATTAAATAGAACAACATTTCTATGTGGATAAAAGGTGGGAGAGGAGAATGTTGCCTGTCTGGAGCAATTTAGAAATATTGCAAAGAAATAATGTTGAGCAGGCTGGAAACCCCTTTGTAGGGCCTGGCACTGAGAGACTGATGGGCAGCTGACAAATGCATAGCTTCTGGCTTGCCATCTGTTGTGAACCATCACAGGAAATGGGTCATCCTATCATCTGATGGAACCCCTCTCATCCAGTGTGGCTATGGGACATATAGGGCTCCAGATGTTGATTTCTACTGCTCCTATCACTGTCCATCACTGACTAGGGTGGGTGAGGTTGATGGGAAGTGGAGTCAATGTTTGTATATTTCAGTGGTTCCCAACCTGTGGTCTGTGGACCACCAGTGGTCCGCAAGAACTAGAATATAGTTCACGGCCTCACTGTTACTACACAGTTGCAAACAGGAATGTCCCGTCTCACTAAATTCTCTTATAGTGCCGAGGCTTATTAAATATGGTTTTCTGTGGGTGAGCAGATGGCAACTACTTGATGGCATATGTTCTGTATCAGAAACTAGAGCTGATGTGGTCTATCCAATGCAATTTTTTGAATCAGCACCCCAAATAACCAAACCAAATCTAAAGTTGACCAAAAACTGATTCATAACCCTTTTGGAACTAATATTGGAGAGTGGTTCCTGGTCAAAGTGGCTCCTGGTCAAGTGATTCCTGGTCAAAAAGAAGGTTGGGATGCACTGGTATATTTTAAGGTTTTAAATTATTTAAAGGTTTTACTGTAAGCCACTTTGAATGTTTTTTTTTAAAGAAAATTGGAGTAAAATGACAATGACAACAACCATGGGTTCCTCCACTAGAGTTACAGTTAATACAGGGATCACTGAGTAATTGTATGAGAGGTCATATATTGTCAGGTTCAGAATGTCAGTATTTTATGGATCTTGCAGATTCTTCCTGGGAGTACTGAAATACTTGGGGTTGAACTTCCATTTTGAGGAATCTGATAATTCTGAGTCCGATGAAGAAGACCGTGCTAAATCCACTCTAGGCTTTAGGCTACCAATAGTTCTGACCAATAGTTCTGAACCTATTTGAGGGATGGGGTAAGCACTTTGGATGCTTTCTTAGTAAAACCAAGAGTAGGTTCACTTTCCTGCTGCTGTGGAAGCCATCAGTTGCAAGAATTGAAGATAGCCAGACAGTCACCCTCTCCTTGCAGCTCTTTCAGATCACCTCCTGAGCCATGATCTCTTTCTCTGTTTCAGAGTGCTGGTCCTGGATGCCAAGATCCTCATAATGTCTCACAATCTCCCTTCCCGGCTCTTCCAACAGTGGCACTACAAAGTGCTGAATGTGCCAGAGAGACGCCTGGACCATGATGCATCCCAGGAGGAATCAGCAGAAACTCTTACCCATGAGTGCCTCACAGCACTTCTGAAAATTGGCAAGCATTTGCTCAAATATCCCAAGGTATATCCCCTACCCACCCTGCCACCCAAAGTAATTTTCAGATTGGACTGCAATTGAGTGCAAACTTCCTTAGCACTTCCAAATCAATTTGCAACAATAGAAGCCAGTTGAAGGCAAAGTGAGAAAGTGGGAGATGGAAAAAAAAGAAGTTGCAACATACTGAAATAGTGAATGGCAGACAATTAATTAAAAACATATTTGGCAAATTGATACCCCCCCCCCCCCCCAAGTAGAATTTGTGTCAGCAAAGGCCAAGTCATTATATGTTAGAAATGGGAAAATGTTGTCTCCACCACAATGTGTTATCTCTCTTGGAATTAATATCAAGCATTTCATGCTTGCTGCACCTTCTGTTGGACTGGAAGCCTTGAGTCAGTATGCTCAATGATGATCATGATTGAGACTTCCTGGAAGTTGAAATCCAAAAATATTACTTTTCTGACCTGTGGCACAGAAATGGATTTCTTTTCTTTGAATGATCTGTTTGGTCATAGCCTGACTCCTTGGGGTCATCTGCTTAAAGAGTAGCTTCTGTCACCTAATCTTATTTATTTAGGTAAGTGACTGGCCTTTTACTTGCATCAGCAAGCAAATGGACTGAGCTATAGAGAACTTAGCATGTTGATAGGCCAGCGACAATGTTTGTGTTCTTAAAATGGAACATTTACCTAATGTTGTTCCTTTTCTGACCCTCAGAGCCCCAAGAACCTCCCAGACACCATCCTGGAGAAGGTACCAGAGCTCATTATTCCCCAGGACACCATCTGCTACCTGCTGACATGCCAAGAGTTGCTGAGTCCTGCTCAATACCTGCAGTTCTTTGACTCTCCAATGAATATCCAGATGGACTCAGGTATAAGTCAAATTGTGGAAATAAGTGTTAAGGGTGGGAGAAAGTTAGACACTGGCCCATAGCCAGACATCTTTCAGCAGGAGGGCTTCAGAAGATAGTTATGACATACATTATCTGTGCTTGGCCTAATCTGGAGGGTGAGCAGCTATAGAATATGCCAGTTCCTACATTCAATTTAAATGTAACTGCAGAAATGAATTCTTGCAATTTAACAATGACAATGACACTGGTGTCTACATCTTCCATGAGCAGCTATGAAATGTAGTGGTGGCATCAAGAATGAGAAGAGAGCAGCAAAATTAGGGAGTTATTACATATTTTTAATCCAGTTTTCTGTGTCACAGGCAGTAGAACAGAAGAATGCATAGTTTTAGTTCTGTTTGGGGAATAAGCTTATGTGATACCTTGAACATGTGTACATTACAGTCTGTAAAACAGCTGTGTCTGATATTGACATTTTGACGACAGGAGTTTCACAAATAGTGTTTTCCAACAAGCTGAAATAACCAAGGTGTGGCAGAAGTATGTTGGGATGATGAGAAAGGAATATAAATTATGTGCAGCAAAATTATAAGCAGTATCTCTGATGGGAATAAGATCTCACCCGTGAAATGCCAAAACAGCTCAAATTTGAGAGTGTCTTGTTGAATTAGTTTCCCAAGGCAGTGGTGGCAGAACTATAGGCATCTGGTGCCTCAGAAAGACAACCTAGCCATGTATTTAGAAAGTCTTAATTATCTAGAAAATCTTAGCTGTTATATATAACTTATTATTTTTCACAGATGAAAAATGGATCAGAGTGCAAAAAAAGGTGTGGCCAGACAACAGGAGATAAAAGTTTTTAATGAACAAGAAAGCGATTATTTTGAGCAGGTGTACACTGGCCTTTTTGTACTGAGTTTAGAAGGTACAAGACTGGTATCTTCTCTCCTATCCTTCCTGATAAGTTAGTTGAGTACAAATTGCTTCTGTATTTTGTATGCAGCAGTTGAAGCAGACTGAGGACAACGGAAGAAGTGCAAAGAGGAAATAGCAACTGGTGGTGGGAAACTATGGAATACTAGGGGGCCACAATAGCCTCCCAGAAGACTTCCACTGCATCTGCTTCAAAAATGTTTTTGTAAAAAAAATTGTCCCAAGGAGGGAGCAAGCATGCTGTCCATATCCTCTAGAGATTATTTTTGGACATCTCAGAACAAATCCCCAAAGGGTGAAAGTCACAGCCCTGGGTGACATATGCCCCACAAACCACACTCCACCCACCTCTGTTTTAAAGGTAGGGAATTATCTGGGGCTTTCCCTGCCAAATAAGGTATGCTCCTGGAGAGGCTCAGTCCTATTCAGAACTTCATCATATTTATGAATTCTCTGTCCTGATTTGCTAGCCTCTGTGGCGAATCAGCAGGACAACGGGGCAAACCTGGTGCCCCACCTCACAGGCAACCATGCTTCCCCAACACATGTGGGGAAGCATCTCCATATGGCTTCCCCCTGTATTGGCCCAATTGTTCCTAATAAAACATGGGAAGGCTCCCATGTTGCCGGTGCAGTATCATAGGATGCCTGTACCCGATTGAGCCACGGAGCTCTGCCGGAAGTGAGCCTGTCTCATTTAATAGCAGGGTGGGACTCTGTGGCTCAACTGGAGTGAAAGTGTCCCAGGACGCTGAGAATTTATCATGTGATGAAGTCCTAAATCTATATTTTACATGTAAAATATGAAATTAAACTGATACTCAGAAATTGGAGAAGTTAAATGAGGGCAATATATACAAAACAGTTTTAACAGTTAATCTCATATTTACTCCCCAGTCTGTATGCTGTTGAATCCTAGGATTTATAGTTTGGTCAGAGGCACCAAAGGAGGTTCCTCACCAAGGACAGTAAAAGCCCCTCCCTAAACTGCTAATCCCAGTATTCCATTGGATGTTGCCATGGCAATTAAAGTGGAAACATTGTTCTATAATTGTGCAGTATAAAAAAGGTCCCCTGGTCTCTTGCGTGTACAATTCACTAGGAATATTGGTACATGTTTGGTGAGAAAGGCTCTCCAAAGTCTTATCTGGGTTTTTTTTCTGGAGAATCATAGCTCAAAATAACAAATGGGAACCATTTAAATGAGGAACGGAAATCTAAACGGTTTCAGCTAATTATTGCCTGCACTGGCTGGAAGTTGTATATCAACAACTCCCCACACCAACCCTGAAGTTGCTCATGGAGCTATCAGAAGTGAAGGAATTGAAAGTGCTGACCAGATTCTGGAAATTGTAGTCCTTCCATCCTCAAATACTGACAATTCTGGAGAAGGACCTCACTTCAAGGAGCCCTCTTCCTAACAGAAGACTCTTATTGTGCTCACCAAAGGAAAAGTGCTGAAAATGATGGAGATGGGGTGGATGTCGGTCATGTTTCAATTTAACCCTAGCCCCTTGGTACTTTCTGTTGTAGTTGTGGTTCTGATCAGCATGACCAATACTCAGGGAAATTGGGAGATCTGGTTCAGCCTGGAAGGCATTAGGTGTAGTACTGTTGTCCCTTTGTCTCTGGACATAGGGGCATGTATTTTACAGCTCCATAGTTATTGGATGGCTCAGTTGTGTAGCCTACATTCATTTCCATGGAAATAAGGGAGTTATTTTCACCTCAAAATTGTTGCATGCTTTCTCTCATTAGGTCAGAGAGAGGCTGTAATAGTAAATCTTTGACTTCTTTTTCAGTGAATATATTTCCTAGTCATTGTTTGGGCTCACAGCTGCCAAAAGACTTCACGATGACCTAGCTGCCTTTGTGAGAAAGCAATGAGCAAATACAAAGAGCAGAGTTCAGGAAAGAGTGAGGGCAGGGCACAGAAATGAAAGCCAAATGAATAGTGGGACACAACTAAGCAATCCTGCAGAATGGATTTAAACCATTCTGTCAGCTGAAATACTAGAATATTTTTTATATCGAAGAATGGTTGCCAATGCTGAAAACATAAGGCTCACATGACCTCATGTGGAAGGTGGGCTTCTGTTCTGAAGAGGACCATGAGTAAGATTCTTTTATGAGCATATTTGCAGTGGAAGTCTTGGATGTCGAAGGCATCCTCCTTAAAAGAATGACAGAGAGAAAAGTTAAAAGCCATCCTAGAAAAATCATAGATACCAATGATGAAAAAAAAAAGTGTGGATAAGTGGGATTTTAGTATGGAAGGATGGCACAGGGGAGAATTCCCCATTTTCTGGTTCTGTGCTTTTATTTGAGTCTTCTTTTTATTCTCCGACACCAGGGGAGATCATAATCACGGATCTTTTGTATCACACCAGATTGGTACTTTGTGTCTCGAACATTCAGGCTTTCATCACTGAGGGTCATTCTAAACTTTCAAGGAAATGTGTATTGCCTGCTATTAGCACATCTCTCCCTCCAATCACAGTCACTCCTAAGAAAGGCATGCCTCAGAAATCAGACTTGCAAATTAGACTTGCATTTATCTTCCAGTGAATATTCACAAAACAACACACTTAATCTTGACAAGGCGTAGACTTATGGAATCTCATATGTTAGACATAACAGATGTTTTTACCAGTTGGGAAAAATGGCTTCGAAATACGGATTAGGACTACTCTTTGGTTTGATAATCATACTGCTGCAGAAAGAAGCAATTCTGCAACATTTTTCTCTTTCTATTTTAGTCAGTAGTAGCCATTTCTCAGAATCAATGCATAACAGAGGAACAACAATTTGAGTTCCTGTCTGTCATAGGAAGAATTTCATTTTCCCTCTCATGATGGGATTCTTCAGTAAGACTGAGCAAAAAGAAATAAAAAAACGGTCTCATCTTTCACAAAACTCAAGTTGAGATAAATTGGTATTGGAATTTATATAGCACTTCTTTGGTTGAAGGGCTTGTGTTTCGAAGTGAAGATCCAACCACAGTGTAAGTTCTTCCTCATATGCTGCAAAGAAAGGTACAGTACACCAAATAGTAGATTGCCCAGTGCATGCTGGCATTTGCATGGCACTCTCCAGTGCATGAGTAGATTCACTTATTGTTAGATTAGACCAGGGGTCCTCAAACTTTTAAAGTGGAGGGCCAATTCATAGTCCTTCACACTGTTGGGGGGCTAGACTATAGTTTGAAAAACTATGCACACTGCACAATTTTAACCAACATATACTTACCAGTATTTCAATGGGAAGTGTGGGGCCTGCTTTTGTCTGATGAGATACTGTAGAGTCTCGCTTATCTGACATAAATGGGCCGCCAGAAAGTCAGATGAATAAAAATTTGGACAATACGGAGTCTCCTACTATTACCTATCCAACATGATGCTAGATACCTAGAATACTAACAACAGGGACTCAAAGGGTTAAGGCAAGGTAACGCCTTGGGGCTGGAGCAGCTCAGCAAGAAGTGTCCAGATGCAGAAGAGGAGCATGGAAATCACAGAGGGAAGGAGGGAGGACGTTTCTGCTTCTGGTCCTGCCTCTTTCCCCACTTTCCTCTCTCCTCCTTCTCGTCTTGCCTTTTTCACTTATTGGGAATTAGAGTTGGGGAGCACTCCTTTAATTGAAGGGGAAATGCTGGAGGAAAAGGGAGGCATCAGATAAGAGTGTCAGATAAGATGGAATGTTGGATAAGTGAAGGTTGGATAAGCGAGACTCTACTGTAGTCAAGTTAATTAGGATTGTTTGTTGTTGATGTGTGCCTTAAAGTCATTTCAGATTTAGGGAAACAATGAATCTGAAGTTTAGGGCGGGGGCTGGATAAATGACCTTGGAGGGCTGCATCCTGCCAGCAGGCCTTAGTTTGAGGACTCCTGGATTAGACTAATATCACCTACTAGACAAGAGAATGGCCTTCATCTGTCACTCACATTAATGCCCTTGCTTTCTGCAACAAAACCAAGAGTTTGTATGCTACTGTTTTATATTGTATTAATTGTGCTGTAATAAGTGTGAACAACACAGAGATATACATTGTGGTCCTTATAAGAATGTGAATCTAGTTTTGTTCTCCCAAGTGTACTATAATATATGCAGACACAAAAGAAAGTAATCCGATGGATAAGTAAGATCAGAATATATTTTCAGGTTATCCTCCCTCAAAATGCTTTGTTGCAAACTGCAAGCTAAAGTCACACCATGCCACTTCTTGTGCTTGTATGTGCTATTTATAAAGTTTGCACCAGCCAAGAACCAATGATGCACAATACAGCTAGTAGTTAGGAGCCCCCAGTGGCGCAATGGGCTAAACATTTGTGCTAAGAGGACTGTTGACCAACAGGTCAGCAATTCAAATCCAGGAGGGCAGGTTGAGCTCCCTCTGTCAGCTCCAGCTCCCCATGTGGGACATGAGAGAAGCCTCCCACAAGGATAGTAAAACATCAAACATCTTGGTGTCCCCTGGGGAATGTTCTGGCAAACAGCCAATTTTCCCATACCAGAAGTGATTTGCAGTTTCTCAAGTCACTCCTGTCATGAAAAAAACTAGTAGTTTTTGGTTTTCCAGTTGTTTTGGAGTCCAACTCACAGAAATTGCAGCCAGTTTACCAGCTGTTAGGAATTGTGGGAGCTGAAGTCCAAAACACCTGGAGGACCAAAGGTTGGGCACCACTAGTGTACAGGATTCTGTTGCTTCCACCAGGATTAGCAATCCCATTCTCGCTCTTGTAGCCTCCTGTGTGTCCTTAATAAAACGTCTACTTTTAAAGTTTAAGAAATCCTTTGAGTAGAGTAAGGCACCACCAAAAGATGCAGAGGAAGGGGAAGGAAGTCCTGATTCCATTGTTGTATACCAAACTACGTTGATGAATCTTGGCTAAATGGTCTGAGATGTGATCAAAGGTCCAGAATGTGCCCATAGAAAGACCAACTCACTCTTATAGCACTCTTTGACTTTTTCTATGCTAAGGTCATGTCTCTTATGTCATTCCACCATGAGGGCAATTAGATCTGTACAATTATGAGTGCATTAGTTATTTCCGACAATATTGTTGTTGATGATAACAATGATGAATACTTAAAAGTTGTAGGAGTTCCTGCAGTTTAGCAAACTAACTTGGTATTTGTGGCAAGCACAATATCACCTCCAGTTCTAACTGACCCTCATGATCAAAGGTGCCCCGCAGACAGGGAAATGGGTGCTTGTTTTGTCTTCTCGAACAATGATATTGCCTGCGTTGTCCAGAGTGAATAGGCAGGCAGGCAAACTGCCTAGGTAAGCTCTCCAGCACCATGAAGCTTTTCTAATAACCCATTCCTTCTGATTCCACAAGAGTGTACATGGCCTCTGTCCGAGCGGCTAAAAATCCATTTTGACTGGGCTGCTGTGAAAGGAGTCTCTGCTATCTGAGGAACAAGCCAACAAAGAATGGTCTTTGCAACACAGTACTACTACAAAACTGCAATGTTGAAATCCACGGTGAAAGAGAACAGCAAGCACTGGAAACGGGAGGAAGAGGAAGTCCCATTTTATAAGAAACATGAAAACCTCAACATTGGTTGTGGAACTGTAGACCTCATTCATATTTAGGATCTAGTATCAATACAACTTTGTTTTCAGTACAAATTATATGTTGTACAAACAATGAACTGTGTCAACTATGGACTTGCTTGAAGTGACAAACTTTAAAATGACAGCATCAAATGGCGAATGCACATGCTAGTTGGGACTGCACAGGCATGTATGGTGGCAAGAGCACCAGAGGCAGGGTATTTTTTCTCTGCCAAGGGATATTTTGTATGTGTATAAGATATGCCTGTAATCCATAAGCCTACCTATTGGAAGCCATGGAAACAAAGATACAAAGAAAAAGAAACCCTAAAAGTTACTGACATGTGCAATTACCCTGTTTGTCATCAGCCACCTTATAGGATAGTCTTCCTCAGTCTTGTGCTTTTCAGATGTGTTGTGCTACAGTTGAATGATCTGAACTCAAGGTTTGATAAAGCTTCTCATTACTGGAAATTACATTGTTATGCATTCAACTTTTTGTTTTTGTGGTCTGTGGTTTGTCACAATGCTATAATTTAAACCTGCAATAAGAACAAAGCTGACTTATGGATAATGCCAGATATTACCTGCAACATTTAAGGAATGTCTCACCTTCTGCTAAAGAAAGAGTTATCAATCAGTTCTAAAGAACTTTATTTCCTTATGTTCTTTTTGTTGGTTTAGTTCCCCTCTCCAGCTGTTGTCATGGCTACGTTTTCCATGGGAGAGAAACAACAATGTCATTAGGGAAAAGAGCTAAGTCTTTTGAGCAGAGGAGCTTGGAATAAAAAAGACTAATTACTTCTGTAATTTGGTATTGTTATCTTAACAAAATGGAGGAACTTTTTTATTCCTGCAAGAGAAAGCATGGAGATCATCTTACTACATGGCTTAGCCTTTGTGGATGTTTCCTAATATGAGGATAAGAAGAAATCATCAGAGGAAGTACTTTTGTTTGCAGAGATCCGAGTCAGAATTCCCATCACTAAATACAATGTATCATCTTATGATACACACACTCCCCCCCCCAGCAATGTGTGATGAAAATATCAGTAACAGCATGCCTGTGCAACTTCTTGTCCCTCAGCATATTGCTGGGATGGAGGAGTCTGGAAAGGTCATGCTGCTGTGTTCCAGTTGCCAGCAGAACAGGGTGTCTGTTGGAGGTGGGATTTGTGTGGCATTAGTGCTATAAATGTAAACATAACAACTGAAGTTATGAACAGTCCAGCTTACACATTCAGAACTGCTCAGCAGAACTTTTTTTTTGGCACAAAGGCTATTTCAAATGACATGGTATCCAATGGAAATAGTTTTATTTTGTGCATCCATTCCCTTACAAAACGTTTCTCAGCTTATTCTCAACTCTAGAAATAAACACTGAAAATCACTGGGCTGGGGTGTAATGGGTTTGCTTTCATTAAATGAGGCCATCTCCACCCTGGTTATTTTTTCCTCACCATTTCTCAGAAAGTTCACAAGGGAGTAATGGAACAGCTGATTTCTTCTGGTTGGACATCAAGGAACAGGATCACTTCTAAAAACACAGCCAGTTTTCCCCAAAGCATCTTATTTCTTCCTGACTGTTCTTTGCTTCCAAATCCTATCTTCACAAAGAAGGTTGCAATTGGGAATAAGCAGAACCTTCCCTGCTGCTATCTAGAAGCAGTACAAACAAATATATGAGAGGGTCAGCCTTGCTTGTTTTCAGTCTCCTCCTGTTCCAATTCCCCTCTTTTGCAGAAGTAATGAGAGATCTCATACTGCTTCCTTTAATGCAAGATACCATTTGACTCAATCCCCAATATGACTCATCTAACCAACAGTCTAAGTTCCACAAGTAATGGAAAGTAAAAGATTTGGGGAGCAGAGTAAATACCGTAGCCCATTTTGTCACTAAAAAGCAGTACCTACATGGGAAGTCTGCAGCAGCATCACAGATTGGAATGTGCAAAGCCCAGTCATGAAGCTACTGATGCCACCTTACTGAACCATGGATGCTTCTTTTGTTAATGAGTTACATGCTTTGGGCTTTAATCGCCAATCCACCAGACTCAGCAGGAACATCGGCTCTTGGGATGGAACAGAAGCAAGCAAACAAATGCTCTGCGGAGCAAAGCAGACACCCAGCATAGCATTTTGCATGAAGCAACTGGGTCCTCAGCTACTGACACCTTCACTGGAGAAAAAAAAGTACACTGAGCTTGGGAGTTTCTTTTTGGAGTGCAACATTTTTGAAGCAAAAAGAGGGTGTTCTGTGCCAAGTAGCACTGTTTTTATGTAAAGTAGTTTAGTCACAAACTTAATGTTTGCAGAAAGTCCTGAAATGTGGAAAATTCACGTAAAAACTCTTGTATATTCTCACTCAGTGGGGAAAAAAACAACTTTTCAAACTCTTCTTCTTGCAGATAGAAATGAAAAATGTATATCCCTAGCTTCCATTCTGAGATAAGCACATAATGTCAGGGCCACAGTAATATCACAAGTTGAGGGTGAAGCATTACAGGCATTTAACATACCACCGACTGCAGAGAGGCAAAGAGGAATTTACATGAGGCTAGAAAGTGGCAAAGGGCCACCTGCCTTCAGCCATTCCAGAATTACCAATGTGCCCTGGAGGTGCAGGCAAATGAAATGTCAGATGTGCCTCTGAAAGCACTATTCTGATTTTCCTGCTCTCAGAACACTGGAAGGTGGAAATGCATTTTAAATGTACCTTCATGGGGTTCTTCACTGGTGGCTTGGCATTCAGAACATGATTTTATTGTCACAACCAACTTTCTTATAATGGCACTTAGTATTAAACGTGTTTTTCTTATCTCTCTCCCATATATCCCTATTCCACTCCAACAGCCAATGGTTGTGCTGTAAACATTTGGAAATAGTTTATCCATTTTTCAAACCTACTGGAAGCCAATTTGGACATCTCAATTGAACATCACTTTCAAGTCATTCCTTCTACCAAATCCTTTGTTTTTCTTTTGTTTTCTTGTATTACTTTAGTTCACTTTGTAAACCAATTTGTGAAGGTTTATTTTTTTCTTTTGTTGCTTTGGATAAAGAAACAAAGCACAGACAAGAGAAACAGAGATACCACAAAAGTAATTAACTGTACTTTAATGACACCATAAGTCAAGGGAGTGGAGGGGTGGGGACAGAAATGGAGAAAGCAGGACACTCTCCCCTCAGAAGGAGCTGCCCAGCATCTGGGCTCAGTCTATGGCCCCAGCATGAGCAGCAAAAAGACATCAAGTGACCAGAACTGGGGAGAGCAGTTAAAATTTCCATTTCCCTTCCCAGTTCACCAGGATGTGCACTTGTGTTCCTGCCTCTTCCATTTTGGGGTGATGAATCACACATTATCACAGCCTGTGGCAAAGCAAAAGCATCCAGACTTGCAAAAATGCTGCCAAAAGAGAGGAGTTTTGAGACATTTACCATAAACCTGAAAGAGTTTGAAAATGCCTCTCTTTCGCTGTGTAGGATAATCATTTTAAGTGTTTAGATTTACATTGTACATTTGTACACCCGTTCAGATGGAATGGCCCCAAATAAACCAAATATATATTTATATATACAAATATATACCTATCTGGACAGATATATCTATCTATCTATCTATATCTCATCTCTTTGAAAAGGATAAAAGGTTACATCTGCCTTTGCATGCACAGCCAAGAGCTCTGCTCTGCTCAGTCGGACCCTGAGCTAAACACTACAGGGAGCTGCAGTCTAGCCATTGCAAATGTATATCCTTTGGTGGAATTCCTTTCCCCTCGCCCTGGAAAAAAGGCCTGAACACAGAGTAGAGAGAAGGACTCTGGGCAGGAATAAGCCCATCATAAGGATGGAGAACAGGAACTCCGTGCAGTCAGTTTCCATCTCTGAGATCACACTGCAGGGGATATGCTGAGGAGCATTTTTATTGCTAATCAAGTAACCAGTTCTCTACCTAATGGGAAGCATCACCCACTTCAGATCACAGCCACCTTTCCTGCTCAACTCTGGCCACAGTGAAAGAAAGCAATGGCATGTTCCTCCTGGTATCTGTCCCTTCTGATCTCTTTCCTTGATCTCCTCGCTACCCATTGGGGTAGGAAGAGGGTCCAAGTAATTGCAGGGGGTGCAAACAAGGAATGGAATAGTAAAAGAACCCAAAAGGGCAAATGATCTTTCCTTGAATCCTGCAGATTCTCTGATGATACATTTCCCTAAAGGGGACAAATACCAGGCAAACAGGCTTTGAAGGGATGGAAGATCCCAGGGACAACGCAAGTGTAGCCTACTCAAACTACGGGGGGGGGGGGGGGGGGAGAGCCATGAACCAGCAATATCGAGAGTTAGCTGGCAGACAGAGGAAGGACAGATGGAACAAGAGTCTGTGGCAGAAGGGGCAAGAGATAATGCTGAAGTCAATAAGACTAGACAAACAGGTGGAATTAATTTGCTGAGCCTATCTGCCACTCTCTTACTCCTGTATTCAACTGCCTGAAAAGGTCGGTGAGAGTATTTAGTTACTTATTTTGGTAAGGGTCCAAAAGCTTGTCAAGGAGATTAAATAGGCACCACGTCAAAAAGGCAAAATTTGGATAAGGCTAAACAAAGGAGAAAAATAATAAATTAAATGGAAATTGCACTGGCAATGTGCCCTTTGCCACACCAACAGGCTTAGCACCAGGCCCACAGGGCTGTCAGTCTTGCATGAGTGGCTGGCACGCAGAGCTCCATAACAGACACCACCTCCCACGCACAAGCAGGCAAGGTCTCTGGACACGTCTCCTTCCATGGAGTGTTCGTGGGACACCGATATGTACAAGAGAGGACATTAGAGGGAGCAAGGGACATTGTGTCATAGAGCGGTGCTTTCTGAATCCTCCTCTGAACGTATTTTTCCTGGTACTGGATGTCTCTGGACTTGTCCCAGTGGGTCCAGGTGAAGTTTGGAGACATCAACCTCGATATGGATGGAAGGGACATCAAGGTGGGCGAGATCTGCAACCAGGCACAGACACAGGGAGACCCCTTGTTAGAGCACACATTGTCCCGAGCTATGTCTACCCACCCACCCAGGGAGAGACAGTCAATTGACAAAAGAACCAAAGCTTTAACTTAAACTGAGCACTAAGAACTGTTCTCAGAGCCTGTCAATGGCAGACAAAAGGGATGTCATAATATAGTCTTGGTTTGCACCTTTGGCTTTGACAAAGCTTCAGAACCCTCCTTTCCCTGAAGGCATTCATTGCTAATCTGTTATCTCCTTCAAACAATTATTTCTTTTAATCCCCCAAACATATCTTTTGGCACGGGCCCAGAACCTGGTTGCAAAGCTTTTAACCTGTTTTATAGCTCTAGGTGAAACACCCTTCAACCTGGTCTAAAACTCATGTTCGTGAAATACCTGTACGTTAGGTCATCTGTTGTGCATGGGAATCTCCAGGCAACTAGTAAAGAAACAGGGTTTGAATACCCCTCCTTTCACCAACCGTGTGTCACAAATGACTAACACAGTGGTTCTCATCCTTTTGCCTGCTCAGATATTTTGATGCCCAGGTTCCAGAATCCCTGACCGTGGTGCATGTTGACAATGTTTTGACCAAAACACTGGGAGAGCCACAGGATGCAAACCACCAGACTAACACACAACTATGTGAAGCAAACTGGTAACTTGTCATTTAACAGTAACGATAATATAGTTATTTATCTCATCTGGAAGGAAGGCATTAATGTGAAAGAAATCCCAATTGTAAGATTATAAGCTCTAGTGAAAGTGAATCTCTGTAGGGAAGGAGACTAGGTATCTAATACTTCTACAATACTTCTAGAATTTAAAAACTGTCTCATTATAAAGGGCAAGTCTCCCATTCAACCTTTCAGCTGCAATCCTGTATAGCTCTACATAGTGTTATATATCTGCATGTGGACCTATGCTAGACGGAGCCATAACTGCCCCCAACTTACTGAACAGCCTCTGAAGGCTCCCCAATATGGCCATTCTCTGCTTTATGAGGAGTGGGCAGGATCGCAGACGTGTCCAGCTATGTCCCCATAGTCAGATATGAAATAATGACAGCAACACTCCTGGAGGATGCCAGCAGAGCTCAGTGCTTGATTGCATCACTTCATGTCCAGGTAGCCGAAGACACATTTGTGATCCTGTCTATTCACCACGAATCAGGAAGCGGTGGTGCAGGGGCTTCAGTGTCTGTTTGGTATGTTGAGTAGGGAGAGCTGCTTGGGCACTGTGGAAAGAAAAAGAATATCAACCTTATAGGTTTCCCAAAAGGGAAACTTATATGTGCATATGTCCCTAACAGTGACCCGGTCTTCATGTCATAATTTGCTATTTCCTCTGATTTTTGGTGACACAAATGCAGCTATTTTTTCAATCTAGTAATTGAACATGTGCCAGAGATGAGAAAAAAAATGTCAATTTGGCCAAAAGGAAATGAAATTAAGAGCTATTGTACTGTCAACAAATCAATTTCTGCATACATTTAACCAAGCCAAAACATGGCATTTCTAGTGATCATTTACTACTACTACAACTACTACTAGTAGTAATAGGAATAATAATAGTAATAATAATACACACATAACTCTGAATTGTCTTGGTTCATGTCAAAACACCAAAGCAAGCTCTGAATTAAAAAACAAGTTCTTTTTAAACTCTGGATATGGATAAACCTATATGACCAGCGGCCAAAATGGACACAACCTCTTTTTAAATGTTAAGCTTTTGTTAGCATGTCTATCATGAGCACATGCTAGAACAGTCATGCGTACTGACTCTTGGAGAATGTTCAAAACTGAAAAGAAACTGAAGAGCAATCCCTTCATATGGAAGACTGAATGTATAGGATTGGGAAAGTCTGAGTTTCCTTTGCAGTAAAGCCAGCTTTCCCCAACCTGCGGCCCTGATGTTTTGGACATTGACTGCTATTGGTCAGGAGCACCAGTACTCTTAAACGATTGGAAAAGCTAATGTAGATAAAATAGATTTAAACAAACAGCAGCCTATGTACAACAACCACAATCTATTCCAAAACCTCCACAATACTTATATGACACTGTAGATAGCTATAATTAACTTTCAAGGCCTATTGACTTTAACTTCCTGAAAGTCATAGTAGACATGATATTCTAGACCCAAAGAGGAGACTTTTCTACTTTTTGACTACTCAGTTTAACAGAACTGACATCTTCTTAGCCCCTTTTAAGCCTATGGTTGTAGAACAGTGGTTCTCAACCTGTGGGTCCTCAGATGTTTGGGTCTTCAACTCCCAGAAATCCTAACAGCTGGTAAACTGGCTGGGATTTCTGGGAGTTGTAGGCCAAAACACCTGAGGACCCACCGGTTGAGAACCACTGTAGTAAGACAAACATCTAAATGGCAGGGTGATCCAGAAAAAAAAACTGCTAGAAAAGGCCCTTCTATGTTTAGGCCCAAACAAGAAATAAAAATTAAAATAAAAAAATCAAGCAGGGGAAGTGTGTATAGGTGTAGCATAGTAATTCTTAACCTTTGGACTGGGGATGTACTGGTAAGTATGTTTCTTTGCTTTTCTTGGATGTGGGAACAAATAATTTCACTTTTTTCTCTTGGTGGGTAAGATTTGAGAATTGTTGTGCTTTTTTTTGGACTTTGGTACTGATGTTCAAAAATAAAAGATTATTTGGGGGGGGGGGCGTTAGTGCAAATCAATTTTTTCACATAAGCATTCAGATATGCAGAAGATTTTGCAGAGCTTGACCATGTCCTTGATATGGTGTCTTGTGTTGAGATACCTCTTGTCATTGAGAATGAGAAAATCTGTGATTATTCTTTACTTGGGCTCTCTAGACATTTTGGAATTCAGCTCCCAGAATCCCTTACAATTTGTCATGCTAATTGAGGTTCCTGGGAACTAAAGTCCCAAATGCGGTGGACCTAGGGCTGGGAACCATTCGTTCTAAGAAGGATCAATCTTGACTAAGAATTGCCTACTTAGCCGTAGTATCTCTCCTCTAATAAAGCCTTTCCTCCAGCCATTAGCTGATTGCTGTGCATGTTTGTGTATGTACATATGAGAGCAGATGAATGAATTTATCTGTTTCACTTGGGCAGATAAAATATTTCACATTTCCCATGGAAAAAATCATGGAAGAAGCTTTGACTAGATGGCTTTCTTTGCTTCTCTCAGTTTGATATCTGCAGTCTATGACGGATGTCCCTCATGCAGGAAGTCTAAAAGGGCTTTTGGGGTGGGAGCAGTGGCACTTTATACTTGGTATCCTCACTAGAAGAACAAAATTAGAAAACTTGCCCTCTTCTCCCTTGTGCTCTAACTTACAATAGTATTAAAATAGTTACCAATAACACTGAGACAAAAGAAAACCTGCTCCATTTAAGTAGTGCCTTGACATAGCTGTGAGATTCTATTTTATACATTATCTGACCTGTAATCTCCAATAAACTCACTATTTTGGTCAGGAGGCAGGTGCCTCTAACCTCAATCATGTCTCTTTCCATCTCTAAGTCCATCTTTGACCTGGATTAGTTTGTGCCAAGCTACTTGCAAGACAGGGAACTTTTACAAGCTAGGAAAATCCAGCGAGTGGTGCAAGATATCGCACAAATAAAACATGTCTGATGTTATACATAAGATGACTTATGACAACTCACTCTGACATAGAAAGTCAAACTTGTTTGTACTGGAAAAAGTCTCACCTGTAAGTTCCTCTTACTTAATGGCTAAAGATTTAACCAGTCCCACTTCCTATGTGTGGTGGAATAGATCTCATTATTGAGCCATGCCTGCACTTGTATTTCCTTAGATATGGGATTTATGGTCTCTATCACAACAGTGAGTGTCATTAATGTCCATTAATGGCAATATCATGACATCCCTTCATGAAGAATACATGGAATGGTGGTGGTGGTGGTTGTGAGTCCGGGAAAAGAGGGTGAAAAGAGACAGAAAGAAAGTCAACATTGGTAGAAGGGAATAGCAAGGTTAAGACGAGGTGAATCCTGTGGCTTGGAAAATAATTAGTTGGATGGCTACTGTGGCCAGCATATAAAAATGCTTTCCAGGCATGAAGGCCAGTGATTCTGAGAAGCACACTCCCAAGTTTACTAATAACATCATTATCAGTAAGTTTGGGATGGGGCCCAGGCTGGAGGAGCCATGCAGTTCTTGGTCAGCGTGCCCCATGCAAGGCCAGCACGATGGTGGGGGACAGACCAGGACCAAGGGGGTGGTGTGGTGGTAGTGGTGGCAGCAGCAAAGGGGGCAAAGGTTTAGGGAAAAGGTTGGGGACTCCAGCTTACCCTGAGCATTCCCCTCACACCTATCCAATATTGCAGCACGTGCCTCAAACAGCTGCAAGGACACAATAATAGCATTGGGAAGAAAGGAACAGAAGAGAAAGAACAGCAGCAACAAGACAAATGTTGTACACAACAGAAACAGGTGCCAGAGCAGGATGCTGCTCTAACCTCCCACAAGGAGCTGGTGACATAAGGTTTTCTAACTGTTCATGGGGAATAGCTGTGGAGGAAACCAAAATCCTCCAGATTATTCAGGCAGGATGGGAGAGACCACCAGCTCGCATTTCCAAAATGTGATACACAGTCCACCCTTCAATCCCCAATGTCCTGGAAGTCAATGGGATTCATCAAACCTTTAGCGTATCAGGGATGCATTTGTTAAAAGCAGACTACTCTCCTGGAGGTCAAAGGGATGCAGAGATGAGTTACATATTACCCATGGCTTTGACCTCTTTCTTTTGGGTTCTTATGTCTTAGGACAGGTGTAAAAAGAATGGCCACAGAACCCCAGAAGCTGCAGCTTTCAGGACATGGAAACTCAGGGAAAACAATCCTATACAAAGACAGGCAGGTGTAATCAGACAACTGGAAATTCCCAGCTTTTGTTGCTTCTCTTAGCATCTAGAAAAGACTAGAGGCCTTTCTTGATTCTGTGGTTTCTAAGAGTGATTATGCTTTTCTTTTGCCACTTTATATCGTATCTTTTCCTGATATAAGGGAGAAAAAGGACCGTCAGCTAGAAAGCTTGCAGTCCCAAAAATGTCCTAATGGCCATGTGTGACCCAGCCAGTTTGTAAAGTTTGTTGTAGGTAACAGCTGAGTTCACTGCTTATTGTACTGAAGTTGTGCATTGCAGCATGCAAAATGGTACATTCAGATCCCTGTGGGTGTTGTGTGAGAGAAAATGAAGGAAAGAATCCGTAACGCTTTTCTTTTATATAGCTTGTCACCAAGCCACAGCTACGCTCTCTCTACCTGATGAGCAATACTATGTGCCCATTAGATTAGCACTACTGTCATCTTCATGGTAAAACACAAACCAGTGCACTATAAGCCAACACATCCTTTCCAAGTGGAAGGACTTGCTGAAGCTCTTCAGGGACAGATTTTCATCTGAGGAATTAGTGACACTTAGGTAATGTCCCTTTGGGCTGGAAAAGCTTCAGATAAATTCCCAATGTAAAAGCTCATCAGCTTTCATTTTTAAAGCAGCATTTGAGATCACCACATTGTATTGTATCACCCAGAATGGTATGGCATCTAAAAGTTGCTGCTCTGATCCTTGCCCCAGGAAAGTCACAAAGGTACCGTTCTCCTGTTAATTAATGCTATAGGCACCATTTGCTTCTGGACAGCCTCTTTCTACTTGACAAATGTTGTCCAAGCCTCAGGCACAACAGCATGGTTCAGTCGTATGTGGAAAAAACAAGAGAATAATTTAGGATGGTACAAGCAACACTCTACTTTCTGTCTTGTGGCTTATGCAGACCTGGCTTTTTGTTGGTGTTCCATCTTTTGTAGTATTCACCAACAAGCTGTACACTGAGCAATCAAGTATGAAGGTTAAAACTATTTCAGAAGCTGTTTCTGGCCCAGCCACCTCCCATACAATTTTACCCTTCCACTGCGGCATTGTTACCTGTGGACATGCTCTCCCCAGGGGACATGCCGTCTAGTATGGTGTGCTCCGTGGACTGTGGACTAGAGCCGGATGCATTTGATGTGGGAGGCTGTGGAGGTGGCAGCGTGGGCCTCTGTCGTGGCTTGGGGGTGGGCCGAGATTTGGTTAAAGTGCTTGTCAGAGAAGGAGGAGAAGACAGGGAAGGAGCAGCAGCTGGGGAGAGTGGGCCCGAGCCCAGGGAGTAGCCTTGTGGGTAACTCAGTCCATAGGGTGATGGGGTGCTTGGTGGGGTGGGAGAGAGGCTGGCAGGGGATGGCTGCCCTGTGGACTGATCAGACATACCACTTGACTGGCCATAAGGAACCTTGGCAGGAATTGGGGCCAGCTTCTTTGAAACTGTAGAAGACAAGAAAAGAGAGGAGGAGAGAGAAAGGAAAAAAGAAAGAAGGAAGGAGAGTTACAGCTGTGCACCATTCATTATTGGACTAACTTTGTATCTGAGTATGACAAAAAAAAAAAAAGGCCTCCTCAGCCCTGTATTAACAGATGTGCATGTGTTTGCTTGACTTATTCTTCTAATTTTTTGTTCATTTCCAGTCAATACAATGCAATACCTTTATTATGATCACTGACCAGCACAAAGCGGGGCACAAGTACCCTGGGAAGGGGAAACACAGTCCCCCAGTGAAGCAGTTATTAAAAACACATTAGATCCGGCACCACATATACTAAAATTTCCAGTCACTAAATGCCCAGAAACAGTGGTTTTACAGGATTAAATGCCTTGATTAGGGAATGCTGGAAATTGGATCACACACACAACAAAAGTATTTTATGCTTTTTGTTAGTTTGTCAATCAAATCTCATTATTTCCTTTTTTATGGCATACACAATTCTGTTCACACCCATCACAATTTAAAATGACAACAAAAACAACATTCCAAGTTGTCTCCTTCTGATTCAGTAGAATTCCTCTCTTCTACTGATTTGATGATTAGCTATAAATTATGAAACGGTGTACCTAATAGGGTAAGAACCACAGTGTTTTGCATTCATAGCACTGCTGCATATTTTGTGAAGTGTTTGACTATTCTGATTGTGTTCAGTTTCAGCTCAGACCTATGAGGCAGATTCCTTTCATTTCCAGCTAAAAGGGAGAACTGATACTGGGTGAATGCCTTATTCATGGCATTCTATGGGGGTTCCTTTCACCGGGGGGGGGGGGGGGGGGGGGGTGATTGCTTTCCATTTGCATACCTCCTTGGTATGGTATAGATATCTACATGTAGACCTATGCTATTCTGAGAGACATATTATTTCCCTAATCTGATACTGCCCTGCACAACCACCTCATGCTTTCCAGTAACCACATAGGCTCAGAGAAGTGCTAGACTACATCTTCCAAAGTCAGATGTACACCTGAGACGCCTGAAGCACTGAGCAAGATCTCAGTGATGATGCCATCATTTGGTGGCAATCACAACAGCACAATGCAGTCTTCCAGAGCAGCTTGAAATTATGCACTTTGTAGTATGAGCTTCAGAGCATGCCTGTCCCTCTTGGATACAACTTGTTTTCCAATGGACCATATTTGGTTGTTTTGGCGGCAACAGTATTTCTCAACTGACTCATGATTTTGATTCTTGTGTTATCGTGTCTGTGATAGGCTTATGAAGACACCAGAAAGAAGCCCTAAGAAAAACACTCACAAAAAAAGTAATCTCAACCAAAGGAAGACTATTTATAAATATAGCTTCATTGTGAAAAAAGGGAGGGAGGGAGGGCTATTATTTTGTTCATCTAGGTCCTTTCAGATATGCTCATATTATCCTCCTGTTCCAAAGTTAAGCCTACCTTTCCTCAGAGTGTGCGGACTCTGGTCTGTGGACAGCTGCTGCGTGGGACCAAGTGACTGCTGTATGGCCACTCCACATGGTATCACAGGACCACAGGTTGGGCTGCCTTTTGGCCCAGACACAGGAGAAAGTTCCTTAGTTTTTAATGCGCTAGAAAGAAACGAAAGGTGAACGAAAAGAAAGAGTCATAAACCTCACTGCATTGGAGAGCACCTTCTCTGAATTCTGACCCTGGCACTACCACTCCCCTTCTTCCGATAGCAGAGTCCCCATGGTGCAGGCCCCCAACTCCCACTATGTAAAGCCAAAGGTGCTTGCAAAGCGCATTGCTTCTCAATGCTCTGCTCCCAATCACATGCTCAACGTACAAACAAACATTCACTTCTGCCTTGAAAGCAGACTGAGCATGACCACAGAGCATAAATGGCATTGCTGCCATCTCAAGCAGTCTGGACACAGCAATGAGACATAGCAAACATGGAGGAAAGCTATTTTGCATAATCTGACCTTGATAATGTGTATGCACATGTACGTAAATGTGTGTATGGAGCAGAGGGCAGGGAGGAAGGAATCACTTATAGATCAAAAAATGCTGAACTTGGGAGAATTATCGTCTGTTGCTCATGTTGGTTTCTCAGGTCCAGTAGTGTAGTGGCAAATCTTGAAGCTCAAATCAGCATCATGAGCTTTTCTACATCACTGCCATCCCACAAAATGCAGGTGGTTGAGTTTGTCTATATATATATTTTGTTTTCAAAATGTTCCAACAAGTTTTTGAACTCAACCAGGAGCATTATTTTGTAAAGCTAATATACAGGGTTAGTCAAAATGAATAGGCCAATAAGAAAATTAATTTTAGACGAATGTATGTTTATTGTAACCAAACTACAGCTACGTAGCGACAGATAAACTATCAAAGTTTTGTCTCACCTTCAGAGATGTTCGATATGGGCGCCCCGTGTGACACGGCAGATGTCCAAGCGATAGTCCAGTTCATTCCACATCCGTTGCAGCACATCCGACGTAATGGCATCGAATGCAGCAACGTCTGGGAAGGTTTTCGTTGAGGTCCTAACCCTAACCCTATCCCTAACCCTATCCCTAACCCTAACCCTATACCCTAACCCTAACCCTAACCCTTGAAATTCTCGCTGGACCGTAATTACTGACATTGTTTTAGCAAATGTCATCACACAAAACGCCTTCTCTTTGCTTGATTCCGCCATTTTGAAAACAGCGACCCCTAGCGACGCCTAGCGGCATTAACGTACATGTGTGTTGCTCAAAAAAAACTTTGATAGTTTATCTGTCGCTACGTAGCTGTGGTTTGGTTACAGTAAACATACATTCGTCTAAAATTAATTTTCTTATTGGCCTATTCATTTTGACTAACCCTGTACTCTGGATGACAATGGATAGATCATGCAAATTCACTGCTGCTGAGAAAAACAATTTTCTCTTCAGTTTTGCAGAGCCTGCCTTACACTGGGGAATAGGATGTGATAAAGCAGGCAATGTCATATTCCCTGGTATTCAAAAAGTGCTGGAGCTCTGATCCAGGGAACCCTGGCTCCACCACACCACTGCTTAACTATTAGCTTTTGTGTTTGATTTAGGCATTACCACTAGAGGATCATTAAAGTCCAGAGAAACAAGGCAGGACAGGGAGCAATGATTTAGTTCAGTTGGGTTTTGGAAGAGAAAGTTGGGCATACATGATCTGTGGTGAGGGAAATGTTACAATAGTTAGCTGTATCTAGACAAGGCAACTAAATGGAGTAATTTGGACACTGAATATTGTAAGGAATATGATATCCTTGAGGCAGCATTGTGTGCAGTTTGAACCTGATAAGTTGGCATAGCTGTCAATAACCCAGGCTGAAATATTGTAATTGTCTGTAATTCTTTGGGGCAGGGAAGGGGAAAAGATTTAGGCCCTGCTCAAAGGTGAGTGGTGGTTTATACAGATCACTCTTCCACCACGCACAATGCCCTGGCACTTTTGAATAAGCAATTATTTACCTAGTGAGCCCGGCTCCTCTGTCTCTGGCACAGGTGCAGCTGACCCAGGGGGAAGAGACTGACATATGGGAACCGTAAGGAGTGCCAGGAGGATCAGGTTTGGATAAGGTGAGGGGTGTTTTAATGTAAACAGAGGAGAGGTTAGTCTCAGGACCATGCAACTCTGTGAGGGAGCTTTGCTTAGGGAGATGCAGGAAACATGGTTTAGGGTTAGAGTTAATATCAAGCTGCTGAGGGGAGGGGGAGGAAGAAGAATGGGGAGGCAGGGTTTGGCTGTACCCTGACCACCGGTACAGTGGCAAGGGCAACTCGGGCCGAGTGCACGGGCTAGTCTTGGGGTGGTAAGGGTAGAAGGATGAGTAGCAGGGGTATGGGGGAGGCTTGTCGTCCTCAGGGGATGGGTAGATGTAACAGGAATCCGACCAACTAGACGACACACCATCCGTGCTGCAAATGTCCAAAACAACAAAACAAACAGAAAAAAAGAGAGCAGAGAATGTTTGTACAGGGAGAAACTGAACAGGAGATTTGAAAACAGCCCAAAAGCAGAGGGATAAGGGGCAAGGAGGAGAACAACCACCAAAAATGTCTATGAAAAAGGCTCTTGCAAAGTGTAACGTACCTAGGTTTGGGGAGCAGGTTTCCCCAGATACCAGGCTGGGTTTCTGTTTTCTGTCTCCTCAGCCAGCCATTGGACATTTCCAGCATGTACTGGAATTCAAGCATGGTTGCCTTGAGAGTAAGGTTGTCTCAAGGCTGTGCCTACTTTTAAACATTTGTTCACAGAAAGCTGGAAAGCATTCTAAGCCATTTCCCACATGATTTGGTTATAAAGCAGGGTTTATTAGGATTTAGATATCTTTATACTACAATTTCAGTGCAAAACCAGACTTTTCTATATTAATGTATTAGCTTCTACACTATACTATCTTTGTCCTGCACTCCCATCCTATATTAAGCTTTGCGTGTTATTCAAAGAGAAAGGGGAAGAAGGGAAGGAGAAACAGAGAGAGAATACTTAGTCACCCATATCGAATAAAATTCTTCTAAGTCATTTTTATAGTTTATTTATCTCACTGAAGCAAGCAAGCAATTACAAATTGTTATTTCTCCCAATGCCAGAAGAAATTACCTAGGTGGAGCAACTAGTTTTGGCACCTTAGTGCCCTCTAGCAGTCTCCTATAGCTCCACGATGCCCCTCTTTAAAATAAAATGTCCTCAGCAGTTTATGTCCCCAAACCATTCAGAAAGTTTCCAAGTACATGAAATTATGCAAAACCACCACCACTGCAGCTCTACAACCCTGTGCTATCCCCAAATACCTGTTTTTCTCAACAGTTCTTTTCAAAACGCCAATAGGTGACACAAAATCACTCTTGTCATCATTTTGAGAAGGTACTATAAAGGAAAACAAGGATATTTGGGTTTAGTTTATCCAGGCTGCAGGACATTTTAGGAGGGATTGGACATGGTTTATGTAGTTGCTAACCCCATGCTTTATAAAACTAAAATGTGAATATAAGGAGATCGGAATATAGACTAAAAATGTAGTAAAAGAGTTTTTAAAGCCGAATGTGGAGAAGAGCACTAATCAAGGAAAACTTGTCCATTATATATCAGACACAGAAAACTATGTATGAATTGCATTTTTTCAATATCTGGCAATTTGATAAGGGCATCAAAGTTGATTCCAGCTGAGGGTTCATTATGGGATTTAAGGCAACATGTATCTGACTCCACTTTGGGTGTCCTTGGATCCTGATGGTCTTTGTTTTAATCCACACCATCGCTCTGAGATCAAGGAATTAATCACAAAATAGGGAAGCAGATTTCAAGACATACATAGTAAAATATGCTGTCTCAGTATATGGGAATGTAGGTGCCGTAAGCAGAACACTGGACTGAGATCTACTGATCAAAGGAAAGGCACGATGGAGAGGCAAAATAGCAGGAAGCTGAGCTGAAATGCAAGGCCAAGTAGGGACCACGTCTGGAGTTGCTTTTAGACTCCTTCCAAATTTTTAGGCAAAGAATATCTGAGCCCCAGGGAAGTAAGGAAGTATGGAATGAGTTCTAATGATGTTGCATGTCCTTTTCTCATGGGCTGGATTTTAGCCCCTTCCTGTTTCCCATCCTTTCCCTGACCATCATGAATTAACAATAGTTTCTAGATGCAGCTCCTAAAATTCTTGTTGGATTGGAGCTATATCTAGCCCTCTGCAACATTCACCTACCAAGTGCCTTCAAGCTGCAAGTTGCAGCCAACAGGTAGCATATTCTGTTTAATCACAGAATGTACAAACATTCCTTGTATACAAAGTTTCTTGTTTGCATCATTTAAAACAAGGCTGGGAAATGTGAGGGCTTTTAGATTTTTTTAAAAATTGCATCTCCCTTTAGCCCAGCCAGTACCCAAATGATGAGGGATAATTGGAGTTGTATTTGAAGAGCCATAGTTGTCCAAGTGATACACAGGGATCCTTCTTGTTGTTGGACCTGCAACTGCAAGAGGCAAACCTGCAAGTCTTGTTCTAGTTAAATTTTTAATTTCAGCTGGAAAAAAAATGTTTCTGTGAAAGGGACTTTTGGAAGACATTTCTTATGACCTGTTGACAATGACTGTGTTTTATTGTCAATGCTAGCTGCATGTAAGATGTGTGCATTGTGTGTGGAAATGGGAATTTAATGGCATCAGTGCCAAAATTGGACTAGAAATATCAGAAGAGGGTTAAAATGCTGACAATCTACCAAAAAGAAAAATATGGGTAATATTTAAATTGCAAACTGGACAAACTAAAAGAGTACACTACAAGCAAAATAATCTGCAGGAAAAGATAAATGTTGGCGATGAATGGAGCAAGGAAAGCACGAAAGGCAGGACCCAGGACCCAGGTCTCTGTTCTTTCCACAATAAAAAAGAAACGTGGTTTAGAAATCAAAGAGACCAATGCATATTTTGCTCTTATTTCTCTCCTTTTAAAGATAATACATGCAACAGCAAATATGAAAGAGGATGCCCTTGTGGTTTTTTCCCCTAGAAGGCTTGTCCCATTACCCTGCCCCGTCCTACCCCAGATTTAATGAGCATATTGACATGCAGTACATTAAAAGCTAACTCCATACTTGCTTTTAAGCACATGAATAGCAGAAACACAGACCACAAATGTAGGCATAACGTTTGATGAACAACTCTAATTCTTTGCACACACAATTATAGTAAATTACTGCAAAGCTGGCTCTATAAATGAATCAGGAGCACAAAATAAGGTTGCATTAGAAGCTGCTAAGTTTGGAAAAGCAGGACTGAAGAATGGATGTTGAAGCAACCTTTTCTCCACTTTCATTTTGCTTTGCTGTCCTGTTATGACATGTGAAGTATTCAAAGTACAACGAAGTCTTGGGTAAATTTAATGTGGTCTGAGAACAATCAAACCTCTGACTTTAACAAGGATATCTGATCTAACAAAAAACCAGGAGAACATGTCTCAAAATGAGGCATTGAAAGCTCAGATCAGAACCAATGTTAGATGGAAATTAGTCTATGCCAATAAAAAGGAAAGAGAAAACAAGAGCAGATGCTGAGTACAAATCAGAATCCCTTTTCTACTTGGTTCCTTTTCTTTGGAGAATTTTTTCCTGTTTACACGGATAGGAAATACCATTATTTTGTGCCTGAATTCCCATACACTCATACACAGACGCCCGCACACAGAGAAAGCTGAAGCATGACTAAAGGCCCATGCAGGTGGGGGATTGGCAGACACATTCACAGAGACTTCAGGACTACAGAACATGGTAGCAGCACTCTGCGCTGCCTCCAGCACTTACCTTGCTCGCTCAGCCCCTGGTGGGAAACCGAAGCTAGATGGAGTAGGGGAGGGAGTAGCTGAAATGTCAAAAGATTGCTCAGGAATTGGTGACTGAGGAGTAGCAGCAAGATCAGAAGGCGGAGCAGGGGGCTGCATGGCAGGAGGGGTGGAGGATGCCTTACGAACTACGGAGGTGCCCCTGCGAGCCACCCAAGAGGTGTCCATCACCCGGACGCCCATGCTATGGGGGGGAACACAGAGATATGCCCTTACCACCTTCGAAGCAATATTCAGAGTGTTAACACGCACGCACACACTCATGTATTCACATTTCAGGAAAAGGAAAGGAAGAAAACTACCTAGGTACAACCATGTTGCTATGAATTTGAACAGAAACACTTGTTCTGGGATGTCAGGTAGAGTCCAGGGAACACAATAGGGACCAAGAACTTAAAACACAGATTTTAACTAAACGGAGATAGAAAGGTCACTTGCTCTAGCATCCCAAAAGATGGAACTTGGTGCAGACTACCTTGACAGTCCTAACAAACACACAAGGGCTTTGTTCTCCCAATGAGACTCCCTCGTCTTTCTGATTCCAGAGCCCCGCACCCAATTATATAGTTAGAGAAAGGACAACATTTGGCTATGAGCACAAATATTCCTCCAATCAGACAATTTTAAGTCACTACAGACTTTTGCTACCTAGTTTTGCTACCTGGGTTTTGTTTGCTTGGGTCAAAAAGTGCTTGGATGTTCTGTGGTCACTTTGGAGTCACAAGCAAAAAAACTGTGGTGGTGAGATACAACAGTCTTTGGCCCTCCAATCCCCATCAACATTTGCTATCCTAGGCAATTGAGTGATAATGGGTCGAGGGGTGGCCTGCCCAGTTTGCATTTTGCCATTCCATTTTGTCCAAGGTCTTCCTGCAAAACAGCAAGATTGATGAAGAACCTTGGTTTGGCAAGTTATTTCCAAGGAACTGCCGCAGCCTAAAGTCTGACATAGATAGAAATATCTGTGTAGCCAGGACAACTTCCAATGACAAAGAAAAGTGCCCTTGCATGATAGATGAAATACAGTAAAAAAAGTAGAAGCCCTTCAGGAAACAAGAAGGGCCAATGTTTGGTGACAGAGGTCATGTTTTGCCTGCAGCATGCTGCTGGTTTAATGCCCTCATCTCCTGTTCACAGATCTCAGGAAGCAGGGTCGGGAAAGCCTCTGATATCTTGGAAAGTCATTGTCTGTCATAAAGCCTGCTCCAAAGTGCATTCCAAAGACAGGCTCCAATCTGACTGCACACAGGGAAATGATTTCTTGAACTTTGCCTTGCCACATGACTACTTGTGGCAACAGAGGTCTTCAGCTGGCACGGCCTGAGTGGGTCTTGTCACTAAAAGCATGAATGGTCCAAGAGCTACCCAGAGCATACCGTACCTTTGGATTTTCCTAAGGCTGCATGGACAGAAACACAGATATTAGTGTAACACAAACTAAGGCCAAATGCCTCCCTTTCTGTACCACCGTGGCTGCCTTTGGGGAAGAGGCTGAGAAACCCATGGCTGCAGGCTGGGAATAGCATGGGAGTCAAGGCCATTCAGTAGCAGAAAGGATCAGTAAGTACAAAAGATGGATGTTCAGGGATAAAATGTTTAAGAGGCAACCAAAGTTTGCTCTTTGTTTCATGTGGGAATGTGTCTTATGGAGGGGGAAAAGAAAAAAATGTGGATAGGCGGGAAGAGATAAAGCAGGTTGGAGGTGTGCATAACAGAATGTGAAGTCTTTTCTGTGTGTTTCTTGTGGAATTAAATGGGTGTTGCTGTTTTTAGAGCTAATTTCTGACATCTGGATAAAGAATATCACTGAGCTTCACACAGCCGAACTACATCCAGAGAATTCTAAGAGTGGGCTTATAAAGTTCACTAAATGAATTTTACATCAAGATTCTCTTATATCATTTTATTTTACTTTTCTCCACCTGCCAGCACAATTACTCATGGCTCATGGGAAATGCCCTTAATATGACTTCCCTTGTATAGCTTCAGGGGGAAAAACATACTTGTTATATAGCTTTGTTGAATGAACAACGTACAACCTCAAAGGATCATGCAAAAGCTCAAAGAAAATATTCACATTTCTCATTCAAAGAGCTTAGACTCAATGCTATCATATCAAAAGAGACAAAAAATAGGAAAACCATACAAATGCAACTTTCAACTACTCAAAACCAACCTCCCAAAGACTTTCTAGATACAAAGTGGCTAGAGGTTTGGGAGGAAGAACATCAGGGCCTCTGAGCTATATATAACTCTATGTCGGCTGATTTCAGATACTTATAACAGAGAAAAGGATATGTGCGTGGGGAGAATATGTAGTCTTGCAATGCTGTATCTTATCTGCATCATCATTTCTTTTTCTACTCATTGCTATCTGTGGCATTGGTTGATTTTTCCTTTAGTGGGTCTTCTCCAGAAGAGACATTTCTTGCTACACCCACCACCCTTAAATCTCCACAACATAACGGAGTTCCTTGCTCTTCAAATTTAGTGCATATGGATGGTGAACTCCAAAGACTGCTCTTTGCCATTTTTAGAATCTGAAATAGGTCACAGGAGAGGAAGTGAATCCTTAATGCAGGATGGTAATGACTAGGATGGGGAGGCCTTTTAAAATTCAAGAATATCCCAGCTAACTGAGAAAACTGAAGTTACAACTGAAAGCCGTGTCTATTTAATTCATCAAAAGTCTGTAAGCTTTAAATCAATTTGGCTCTAATTCTGTTGATGCATACCTGGAAGCAAATCCCACTGAACCCAGCAGGGTTTACTACTGAGCAGGTAAGTATAGCATCCTTATACATATCACTATGATTACTCAGCCAGAGCTGTCAATATAGAATAAGATTCTCTTCAGGATGAATGTTTAGAGAAACAAAACAATCACTGCAAATCCTGGAATTCTTTGAAGACATGACACTCCTGCAGCTGTAAACCTCTTCTGTCATTTCCCTCACCCTTGCTCTAAATTGGGAATGGGAGGGGGGTTTCCATTTAACATTTAAAAGGACAGGCAACAGGAACTGAGTCTGGCCCCTTTCAGCATTCACCTCGCCATGGTAGTAATAACATTAGGGCTGGGGAGGATGTGGCCTTCCTAATTTTATTGGACTACAGCTTCCATGATCCCTCACTTTTGGCCGTGCAGGCTACAGCTGATGGGACTTGCCATCCAACACCACCTGGAAGCTTGTGTGTTCCTCAGCCTAATTTAAGTGATGCAACCACAGGGGTTGGGACTGATTGCACAAGTCTTTACAATGGATTTGGCACCCTTTTTCTCCGTGACTGCTTCCAACCCACCTGGGTTGCACTGGCTAAATTATACTATGTAACAAAATTTATGTTCCTAGGTTATAAATGTCATTTCCCAATTGGTTCATAAAAACGCGGGAAAAGTGTATTAAACAGCAAAAATGTTATTTTTGTGAGATATTTTGCAGAACATTTTGCTATAGTTTTTTAATGAATATTTCATCAAGTCTCACCTAATTCAACATACCGAATATACTCGAGCATAAGCCGACCTGAATATAATCCAAGGCACCTAATTTTACCACAAAAAACTGGTAAAATATATGGACTTGAGTATAAGCTGAGGGTGGGGAATGCAGCAGCTACTGGTAAATTTCAAAATAAAAATAGATACCAATAAAATTACATTAATTGAGGCATCAGTAGGTTAAATATTTTTGAATATTTACCATATTTCAAAGAAAAATTAAACTAGCTCTGTAAGTGGAAAAGTAGGGTCAACAAAAACAATTATGGTATCAACAATAGCTTAATAATAATAATAATAATAATAATAATAAGAAGAAGAAGAAGAAGAAGAAGAGGAGGAGGAGGAGGAGAAATATATAATATATTGCAAGCAATGGCCTCCAGGCTTGGCCCCATTATAAACTGAGGGAGGCTTTTTTGGCCCATAAAAAAGGTCTGAAAACCTTGGCTTATCTTCGAATATATACGGTAGTTTGTGGCAGCCACAAAATCAAGGTTTCTAGAGTATAACAACTATTTTCAAAGTAAGTACACAATTAAACTTTCAAACTAGGAACAGAAAAGTTTTCAAATTTTGTTACATGGTGTTATTATTCTTGTTTCATGAACACACTGGTCAGAAAAATGGCTCCCATATGACTATTGCAGTGCTGAGAGTTCCAATGCTCAATGGCTTTTGAAATGGGATCCTTCGCTATAGTGATAGCCATTTAAGTTTATTTTTTTCTAATAATGTTTCACTTAATTTATTCTAAACATAGCTTTTTAATATGCCAAAACATGACAGAAAAAGAAATATGACATTTTATTGTATCAAGAAATGACAGCTTAGTGATCACTCAACAAGAAGAAAACCTTCCAAAGCGTGACCTTCAGAATGGGCAAAAAGATGCCTTCACTGACATTTAAAAATATGTGCTTAATCAATTAATTCATATTTTAAGAAAAATAAAGCTAATGATTAGATATCTGATATAATTATTGATCAGCATCTGATCAGCATCCCACAAGAAAGTACCTTCAATAAACCATTTTAGATTTTTAGATTTTTATGTCCACTACATTTATAGTTAAAAACATTACTAACTATGCCAGTTTTCACTCCAGTTGTGGATCAAGAAGCGTGAAAGAGAGTCATGTAGGCCAATTAAGCTCATTGGAGCAAACACAAATTACACCAAGTACATGATAAATAAAAGGGGTAAGATGTCTACCTCTTATTTCAGAAGAATGGAACAGATGTTTACATATATAAGATGCATGTCCTGGTTCTTAGTATATACTATTAGCAGAACCCACAAGGTTCTTAATGAAAACAAAAAGTCAGTGAGTTTCCCCATTTACTGGCTGAAGCTATGAAGAGCTGCCTATGTTAATTCTTTCCAACAAGATAACTCTTCAGAAGTAAAAAAATCTGAGAAAGAGTAACAGCAATATCACTACAGTTAGCCAGGCCAACAGAGCATGAAGCAGGCTGTTTGAATCTGGCTATTTCTGCCACAGCAGGGAACATATTATAGGAAATAACCTTCCTTGGCTGAATGGTTACAGTCTGAAGAGCTGGTATTAACAGAACCCCATAGGCATCACAATGGCCAGACTTACTACATATACTCATGTATAAGCCTATAAATATTAGTCAAAAATTAACTCCAGAAGCCTGTGTCCACTCATACACGGGTCAACATAAGTACTATTTCTGGATGCTCATCCAAAAAGGAACCATCTCCTTCTCTGAGTAGAGAGGTGAAAAGTAAGAGCTTAGCTTGTCCAAGGATAAACTAAACATCCCACTATTCTCTCTGCTGTGACATCCCTCCTGGTCTTTTTGAATCTCTGGGAAAGGAAATGGTGATGGCAGTGGCCAGAGGTGGCTGGACCCTCTGAGGTGGCACTATTGCTTTCCTCTTTCCGCAGAATGATATTCAGCATCCACAAATCCCATCAAAATCCATACTTTTGGCCCCAACATCCACTTTTGACTTATATATGAAAATGACTAATACACAAATGTATATTCTTTTACCCAGAACTGCATCCCTGAATCACCTCAATGGGCAAAAAATGTGGTGGGTTCTCAATCCCAGACGAGACCACGGTAAGAATTTCCTCACAAAATGTTTGTTCTCTAGCAGGACAGTTTCAGATACCAAAACTAATTAGGGTGATCAAGTACAAAATTACTGCAACCTAAGCCTAGAAGTTCCTATAAACTGCAGATGTCCATCAACGAAGGGATCACCTTTTTATTATGTTTATTGCAGGGTTAGAGAGTAGGTACACCGGAAAAAAATTATATGATAATCTCCAAACCTGTTTCAGCAAGATGAAAATACGCACACTTTGAAATATTTGGTTGTCCCTACAGACTACTGTTGGATCTACTGGCCTTTGTTGGCATACCAAAACCAACCCCTTGTATCTCATAAAGGGAGGCTAACCTTTCCAATACAACTATACAGTTAGCAGAGGCCAGGCACAGGCAAGCAAACAAGGAGGAGGCCAGCCATAAACATCCTTTGAAAGAGGCCATACGCCAGGTGCCCGGGAATGATGAAGAGCTCAAGAGCAGGGTGGGATGTTAGCAACCCAGCAGCAAGCACCTGCTCTTTTAGAAAATACAGGCACTTTGTCCCTGAAGCAGAAGCACTGAAGGCCAACAGAATAAATGCCCTTCCCAGCTTGCATCTCATGGTCGGCCACCCCCCTGCCAGCACCTCTCTACTCTGCCTCTGGCAGCAAAGCAAAAATTGCCCCCTACCCATCCTTCTTGTAGAATTCCAGCATCATGTTGTCCGTGGCCACACTAAGGGGTCGCCGCGTCTGATCTGGATGCTTGCGGTCAGCGTGGTCCATGTCGGGTGATGGCATGGAATTGTAATTTGCATTGTGGTTCACATGCACAGGGCTGCCATAGTTCCCGGTCAAGTTGAATTCTATGTCTAATGTGGAAAGAGCAAATGAGGAAATTACTGCTCACGTGAGTGCCAGGGTGTGGGTAGGCTTTGTGGGGCATAGGCAGAGAGAGATGCAATCTATCAAAACTCCAGTTTTGGGAGACATTCCTTGTCATGCTAGAAATGCAGAGATGGTAACCCTGAAGGCTCGTATGGGACATTCTCAAAAGTGCCATGCAAAAATGGGCCAGAGCCATAAACAGGGAAACCAAGGCTATGGTATGGGATCACTGATAGCAGAAGATGATCAGAATCACAAATTGTATTGCTGTTATTATTAACTTTATTTATACCTCGCCTTTTTCCCAAAACAGGGGCCCAAGGCAGCTAACAGATTAAAATACAACACAGTCAAACAAAAGATTAACATTGACATGGAATTAAACTATCAACAGGATTCAAAATGTATTTAAAGAGTAATGATAACATGATCAAAAGCTGTACAGGTTGAGTATCCCTTATCCAAAATGTTTGGGGCCAGCGGTATTTTGGATATTTTCTATACCTGCATTTACATATACATACATCATGAGATCTCTTGGAAATGGGACCGAAGTCTAAAAATGAAATTCATTTATGTTTCATATACAACTTAGACATGAAGCCTGGAGGTAGTTTTTTACACAACTTTATAAATATTTTTGCACATCAAAAAATTGTGCACACTCAACTATCAGAAAGTCAAAGTATCTCAGCCACCCATGTGGATAGTTTTGGATTTAAGAATTCTAGATATGAAATGCTCAACCTGTACACGTAAAGCAATAAAAACAGTATAGCAGTTTGATTAAAAAACACTCTCTTTAAAAGTTTCAGTGTTCAAGTCTGTGAAATTAAAGGAACTTTTCCCTGCCAATGAAAGAACAGCAAGAAGGGGGACCATCCCAGCTTCTTTATTAAGGGAGTTCATGCTTAGGGCAGCTATCAAGAAGGACCACAATTTATAGCCTCAGATGGTGTGATGTTTCTAACCACCTGAGGCACACAAGCCATTTGGGAGAAGAACAGAAAGAAAACAAATCGCCCTTGAGCAATAGATCTGGGATTTGGTTATCATTACCTGCCTTGCTTTGCCTGCTTTCTCAAGTTCATCTGATACATAAGCTGCAAGTAACAAAAACAAAGGATTCACCACTTACCTCCGGGAAAGAACCAGTCCGCATGCTGGATAAGGGGCTCAATAATTGCAACAATCTGCAAGGAGACAGTCGCCATCATCTCTGTGATGTTTCTGAAAGAGTAGGAGGAAAAGCCGTAAGAAGATTAAATGAATGAAGGCATGTAGGCTGATTTTTTTTCTCCAAGAGTCAGAATAACTAAAGGAACAGAATCCAGGACTAGAAGAAACTTCCTTTGGTCTGGTGCCCTAAAGAAGTTCTACATTACAAGCCTCGTATTCCTCCAACCATCAAAGGTAATCACATAAGATGTCTAGACAATTTGGGGATTTTAGGGACATCTGTCTTCTCAGTGGTTATATTTCCTTTCAGTTCCAGTTGCAAAAGGCTGATCCGAAGTGTGGCTGATCTGGATGTTTTCCCAGACAATTTTAGGAAGAATCCATAAGAGGACCAAGAGAGACTCCATCCCTATAACTATCATTGCTCACATGCACTGGGAATAGCCTTTGTGCTGTGTTGAAGATCATTATCACAGGTAAAAGGGTGGCATTTTAAATGGGCCCCCAGAACTTGTGAAGTCATATACTCATTGTACATCACACACTTTATAAAACACAGTTGGTGGGCAGTCTCCATTCACTTCGACTATGCTTGTACAGTACAACACCCACCCCCCAAATCTACTAACCTGTGGTTTCATTTATCCACATCCAACAAAATATACCTTCTCTTAGTATTTTCTAGGTCCTCCAGCATGACTCTATGGTATTCTTGAGTGGTGACTCCTTCAATTCAATAGGGTTTGCTATTATCTGCCATTTTAGGTATCTGTGTGAAGTCTGGGAATGTATCCCTCACAGAAATATTGGTTGTATTTTTAAAATTTCTGCACCATATTTCTCTTTTCGTAAAATGGCCCCATATCCTTTTATCAATATGTTTCAACTGCAATTCAGTGTTTGTGTCCCCCATGAAAAAGTAAATTAAAAACAATGAAAATGTTAGGAACTTGCAAAAGAATTAAAGTATGTCACCTGAAAAAATATGTATACCAAGGATGAGAAACCATGCAGTTGTTATTGGGTTGCAAATCCCCAGCAGTCCTGGCCTATAGAGCTAATGGTGAGACATGATGAAAGTTGCAATCCAACAACTTCTCTAGAGAGATACATCTTCCCTATTCTTGATATGGAAAAATAAACCCCAGTTCCCGAATTTTCAGTCAGGGTGAAAATGCTGTAACACTCCAGATGCTGCTAGACTGCCACTTTCAGCATTCCTCACCACTGGCTGAGAAAGCTGGTGGCTGGTGGTATGTGCAGTCCAACAATATCTCATAGATGTTGCATGAATTCCAGGTTTAGCAGGTTAAAAATGCAACACACATCAACCTGTTTCTTACCCTTCTGCCTGAGGCCAGAGGAGATTAGGCCCCAGCACAATTGCTATGTTGCTTGGTGTCATTTTGTTTGTGTCCTGATACTCTGTTAAGTTTGCAAGGAATTTGATCAGGTACCTGCAACAGAGTTGAAATGGAGTTATGAAGTACTGAAGCTGCTGTCCAAGCCATAAATACTTAAGGCACATCTACTCACTGATTTCCACATGCTGAAATTTGCTTTGAGATTCATATTTGGAAATAGAAAAAAATGCAAGTTGCTGGCACTAACCACTAGATGGAGAAACTGATCTGAAAAAGGGATGTATACCTTCCTGAACACAAGAACAGGCATTTATACAAAGTTATATTATAAAACTTTCAGAAGTCATGAAAATGAATGATGGATATCAAAAGCTATACTCAGCACTGGCTCCTTCTGAACACAAGAAAAACATGCAAGTAAATTACTCTCAGAGGCTGAAAAAAGTACATGATATTTCTTGCTCCTGCAGAATCTGAAATGTACAAGACTCTCATTGTTGTCCAGGATTGAAGAAATCTTCTAAAGCAGTGGTTCTCAACCTGTGGGTCCCCAGATGTTTTGGCCTTCAACTCCCAGAAATCCTAACAGCTGGTAAACTGGCTGGGATTTCTGGGAGCTGTATGCCAAAACACCTGGGGACCCACAAGTTGAGAACCACTGTTCTAAAGGTTTTAGTTTCTCTCCCTCTCCTATCTTTCTTGCTTTCTCTTTCTTTTTTTAATCATAAAAGCCCATAACATTTCTTCATATCATTATGGATCCTGTGAGGATATTATAGTTTTTCCAGCAGTTTCTGGAACAGAGCCTAAGAATTACTGCCCTATATGACCCAAGAAGTGACCTTTTGCTTGGATACACTTATTCCCAACAGATATTTTTCAAACCCTTTGTTACAGTGAACACTCAAAAGCACCAACAGGAAAGAACACTGACCTTTTCACCAAGGCTAAGAATCAAGCCTCCTTGGTGTCCTTTTTCAATTCTACAACAAGAGAACAATGGAGCTACAAGACTAACTGGGCCCTGCCTTTTCAGATAAGCAGTAGGAGGCTGGAGCCATTTACTTTGTCACCTGCAACCCAGTCTTATTACTGAAAAGGACAAGGAGAAGGCTGAAAAGTCAATGGGAAGGCTCTTTGGGGTACATCTTAACCTTAAGAATTTCAGTAATAATGAGAAATCTTTTCAAACGTTGTTGAGTTGTAGATTTTGGCACTTCCCATCATATGTCTGTGCTAGCAAAGACAGATTGGATATGCAGTCCAACATCTGGGAGCCATACAGTCCTCAGTCCTGTGTTACAAGCATCTCCTTCCCTATCCCTCATTTATATTCATACTTCATTTAGAAGTATGTATGGCTGGCAATAATAAACATTCCTTTCCTTCAACATTGAGCAAACCTGGCTCGTGAAATTACCTTTCCCTTTAAGACGGGGCTTGTGAAAGAGGGATACATCTGGTATGAAAAGATGTACAAGTTGAGTTAATAGTTAACACTTGCAGAACTTGACTGAGGCATCATATATGTTTCCAAGCTCCCATAAGTGCAGATGGGAACCATATCTGGCACTTCTCAGGTCAGGAAAATGAGATTTCTAATTATCAGACTTCAAACACAGATTGGCCCTGCTAATTTGCTGGAAAAAGAGGAAAACACTGTATTCCACTTCAGCAAAAGAGTCAGAAAACTAATAACAAAACTTGACTCTGATACCTAGCAACATTTTTGTATGATAACATTTTATCTTATGACAATGCAACCCCCCCCCCTCCAAAACCCATTTGCTATGGATCGTGCTTTGTTTGTATTTATATGATGATGGTAATCACGCCCAGTAAAATTAAAACCAACAAGCATTAGAAGCCATTAAAAAGTTATATTGTTCAGTCGGCATACACCTGCCTTAGATTGCTATGGCTGGCCTTGGGCAATTTCTCAAGGGCGTTCCACAGGGCCTGCAGTCTTTTGTCCTGATCCTGGATGCTGTAAAGAAAAGAACGAGGTGGATGGGATCAATTCAGCAGCAAGATGCCATAACTTGTCCTGGAGTATGGACGAAATATAGCAGGATTCTGTGTTACTGGGCCTAAATGGCCAAGTAAAACTCTTTCTTTCTATTCCCTGTTTCTGCACTCACAATCACACATATAGACTCAGAGGGAGGCACCTCTGTTGCCCTCCATTCATTCTGCATTTGAAATCTGTCATAGTGCAGGCAGGACAGTTGGGGCTGGGAAAGCTGCCAATGTTTTTCAATCCATCCTCATTTGGTGAATTGTCATCACTGCTCCCCTGTCAAACAAAACAATAACTGAAACAATGCCTGACCCTCCAATTCACACCCCATCAATGGATTTATATGCATGTTTAAGTGGCAATCGTATGAAAGAAGCAACAACATCTGGTAAGATCAGATTGCTGGCTCACATCTCTTTTCCTAAATGACAAAATATAACAGAAGGCTGGAACAGAATTCCTATGTCCATTGCTACTGAAAATCTTTTGTTGTTATTGTGTCTGTAAAATAACAGTCTTTAGTGATATACTGATTTTATATTAGACAGCAGCGGGCGAATAGCTAACAAGCTTTACACCAAAGACTCTCTTCAACTTACTTGGAGGCTTGAATCCATTCTTCATAGAGTTCAAATGTCATGAGTGGTTCTGGAAGCTCTCGAAGATAGGACTTAAGTGCTCCTATACAAGAGACACAGATTACACACAAAAAGAAAGCCTTTCTCTTGTAAATTGTCTTGTCTTTCTTTCAGTTGGGGTGAGTTGGGGGGAGACAATTGGTGACATTGGCCAGTATTCTACATTAGCCTACATCAGTTATGTATATTTAACTAAGTTACCTCTTCTAGCAAGTCCTCACAAAACTTGACTAAAATGTCATTAGTTCATACTCTAATCTTCAGTAAAATGGACTGGCAACTGGAGCACAGCTGAATGCTGTTTTCTGTCAGGGTTTTCTGTGTCAAGGTATAAGAGGTTAAACCTTTGAGCTGCTGAACTTGCTGACCAAAAGGTTGGTGGTTCAAATCCAAGGAGCGGGATGAGCTCCTGGTGTTAGCCCTATCTTCTGCCAACCTAGCAGATTGAAAGCATGCAAATGTGAATAGATCAATAGGTACACTCCAGCGGGAAGATAATGGTGCTCCATGCAGTCATGCCAGCCACATGACCTAGGAGGCGTCTATGGACAGGAGGTGTCTCCTTAGAAATGGAGATGAGCACCACCTCCAGAGTCAGATACAACTAGACTTAATGTCAAATGATTAAAAGAATAGCTGATATGCAATACTGGCCACTGGCATTAACTATCAGGAGCAAGAATCTAATACCCACAGCAAGATCTTCCTGCCTAGTGGCAGATTGTGGCTTCCATGTAAGCCACGTGATGAATCTTTTTTTTATATAGCACAAAACATAAAATAGCTATCCAAGATGTTGTATTTAAGCTGGGAATGCAGTGTATATATTTAAAGATCAGGCTAAAATTCAGAACAGGTTAACTATCCATCTAAATCCAGTTAATATGTGGATCTACCAGAAAAGCAAAACAGATTGACTTGTCAATCAAATCAAAGGTAGTATGCTTCCTGTTTTGTTTTTTTGATGTAAGCAATAGTTTTTTGGATGTAAACAATGCATTTCAGTTTATAGTAAAGACTCGACATTTTTGCTTTTTCACATCTTTCACATTATTAATGGTTGTTAGTGTTCTAACAAGAAGACATTTCACAGCAACAGTGTGTTTTTACAAACTGGTAATTTTTGCTGCCTTCTTTCCAATCAGATTGTAAAGTAATTTTTTTTAAATTCCAAGTGATTATATATCTTGAAAAAAAAATTTGCATTTATTGTCAGACTAACATCCCCTCTCAACAATATTTAATTACCATTTGGATTGTTTCACAGTGGCAAGACATGGCTTTAAGACATGTGTTGTGTGATGCGAATGCTGGGTGGTGTGTACATATACCTCACTGGTGTTAATTTTCAGATGAAAAACTATAGAAATAAATGCATTTTCAGGTTTAAAAGCAAGTCACTAGAGGAGTCTACAGCCTAAAAAACAACACAATCCTCTTCTTAAAATAGTCATATTTTCCCAGGATAAAAGAACAATTCCAAATAGAAACAAAGTATTTTCTTTGTTTTCTGAAAATGCCACAATTATCTGTTTGAAACACCACCATTACCCCAGCTATATTCTCTCTTATGCGAGAATTGGGAAGTAGCAACAAAGCAATAAATTACAGGATAGGCAAAAGTAGTACTCATTTAACAAATAGGTTAAATTTCTCAGATAGTAAACAATCCTATCTAATATTCACTATGTGACATTTACAATATAAGCTCTTTCTGTTTACTCAGGCTACTAAGGCAGTCTGAAACATTGAAATAGTAGTGCTCCTTACCTGCAATGGCATGGGGATCTGCTGAGTACTCCTGAACATCCACCACACAGCAGTCAAGAGCTGCCTTTAGCTTTTTTAATTTGGAGGCTGAGGGAGCCACTCGGAACAGGCCCTGAAAAGAGAAGAGGAGAAATACCATATATATTAACCTATACGCCAACCTCAGGTATAAGTCAAGGGCAGACTTTGGGGCCAAAATTATGGATTTTGCTTTGACCCATGAATAACCTGAGGATGAAACTTTGTGGTATGCAACAAAAAATTGTTTACACTAAGTCCCTATAAAAATGTCTGCTGCAGTTTCTCTGCAGCGATGCTTATGTAGAAATCCCTTCTCATATTGAATTCCACTCAACCTCCCATGCCAAAAATGGTGGATGCAGACTTCCCCATACTGCTGCTAAAGTCTGCTCAGGCCAAAAAACCCCCCAAAAAACAACAAAACGAACATGAAGGAGCTAATAAGGGAGGATGGTCTTTCTCCAATTTTGGCAAGGGAGAGATAATACAATGGATTGCTTTTCACCTTTACTTTTTGTCACCACCTTCTCACTAGGTTCTTATTCCAGCATTGACTTGTATATAATGATGACCCAAATTTTGAGGTGGGTGTGTGAGTTGCCCAACATTTACTTGACATATACATTAGTTAATATGGTAGAATAAAAAAAATGACCCTCATGTGTTAGTTGCGCTTGCAAACTCCAAAAAAATGCTCTCTGGAAAACATGGCACTGTTTCTGACATTCTTCAAGACCCCATATGAATGAAAGGACAGGTGAAGATAAGGATGATGATGAAAAGAGGAGGAGAAAAGGATAATTAAAAGTTCCCATACATTAGAATGAAGCGATGAAGCCCAAGAGAAAAAGCTACTGTTTAATACAGACCTCTTCCTGCATGCCACATTCAAGGAGCATGGTGACACATGCCTCAATGGGGAAGGCTATCTCCCGGCCACTGACAGATAGGTGCTCCTCCAGGGGCTTCCCAAAGGAAGGCTTCTCGATCCATGCTTCTGCGGAAGGCAGTCCAAATTAGGGGCACCAGAGACACTAGGAGACATACTGCAAAAGGCCTGAGATGGTATTCACTAACATCATTCCACACTAAGCCCATCTTTCCATACAGTTTCATGGTGTGATCCCAAAATACTAGAGAAACTGAAAAACCTTTACCTTCTATAGCAGTTCAAACCCTTCTGAAGAAAGAGCAAGTCAAGAGCAAGAAACTTCATCTTGTTTTGCTATAGACAAAATCAGCTAGTGAACATATTGCTGATCACCACAGTCGCTTAATAGACTCCTAACTATTGCCTTGGCCTTTGAGAGCTTATTCTCTTAACATTTTAGAATAAGGAGGTGGCAAATGCCATATATAGTATAGGATGAGCATCTTTTATTGGAATTCCCAAAACTGAATTACTGTGGTCCAAAAGTCTCCACATGGGTGACCAAGACAGAGATGTCTTTGCTTTTGTTTCATGCACAAAATTATTAAAAATATTGAATAACCTTACCTTCAGACTATCTGTATAAGGTACACGTGTGTGTGTATGTGTATTTATTTATTTTACAGTCAATGACCAGCACCAAGGTGTATATGAAATATAAATAAGATCCATATCTATGCTTTTGTCACATCTCCAAGATATCTCATTATGTAAGTATGCAAATAATATTTTCCCCTAAAATCCAAAACACTTCTGCTTGTCCCAAGGATTTCGGGTAAGAGCTACTTGACCTGTATTCTCATATTGTATTAGACAGTATGTCTCTCGTGTAAATATGTTGCAATGGTATCTGAAGAAACACACACCCCATAACACTTACCCTGCTGCGCTTTGATCTGTGGCAACACATTCTGCAAAAGTGCTAATGACTTCCTGTGATATTCTGCTTGCACTTCTATTAACTGGGAGCAAGATAAAACAAGAGGCAGTCGGTCACAACTCCAAACTTGAAACCCCAAAGATTTTACAAAAGGGGATGTGCCTGGTTGTGGGGAGGGGCAGACAGAGAAAGGGGCCACCCAAAGTTGAAAGTTTCTGGTACTCACAGTTTGAAAATAATTTGCATAGTCTATCTCTTTGGCCACAAAATTGTACATGTCAGCTGAGAGCTGATCCTGTAAGAAACAGCAAGGGGTTCTGTGAGTCTAAGTTTGACAAACACACACACTGCATCAGCAACTGAAATGCTGCAAAACAACTTTACAACAACTCAAATAAAATCTAATGAGCACACTAAAATAAAAGAAAAAAGAGCTGTGTTAATTTGATCTCAGTTTACATATTGCCATTGCCTGAAGTTCTCAGCTGAATTTATATGTATCTGTCAGATTCTAGTTTTCATCTCGTCCTTCAGTAGTAACACTTCTTATCGCTTCGGTTTTGGATACGCAGAAATTCTTTCCATTACATGCTGGAAATTGCAATGATTGGGGGGGGGGGATAGTGGGTAGGGAGTGTATTTGTGAAGATACCCTGCAAATCTCCACTCTGTTTGCTGCCTCCTCCATCTCTTCCCTGAGAGCATCCGCTTTGGCACCCGTAGGCTGCAGGTTGCTTGACAAACCCGAAGACTTGGCTGACTGCTGCCACCTGCAGGAGAAATAGAGTCAAGCTTTGTTTGAAAAGACAATTAGACCAGCACAGCAATCTCTTCCACATCTGGTGAGGGGCATGTCAGATACTGATCTGTCTGGGGAGCACATATGAGAGGAGCTTTTCAATGACTCCAACTTCAGTCAGGCTGGCCTGTCAGACACTGTTGGAGATACACTCACTGCCTCTCAGTCCTACACCATCTATAACCCTGTTTCCTGGTCAATAGGCTTCTCATTTTAATACAAATGCTCAGAGGAGGGATTGCACTAAAGTAGGTTTGGGTAAAATAGACACTCCATGCATTATTGATTTTTTTCTCCCACCATTCATCACCACGGCTGATGCATTGATGGAATTTGTGGTCCAATAATATCTGGAGGGCCTAGTTTAACTTATGCATGCACTACAGCAGCTGTCATGCCAAAAGGGAAAGGTGACGGTGGAGCAACCATGTAAAAACACAGTCCACCCTAGGACTGAGAACAGTGGATTACATCTGAAGGTCACACTAGGTGTCCCAAGTTGGCTGAAATGCACCCTCTCCTCCTTCTGTCCCATATCCACACCACAGAAAAGAAAGCTGCAGGCAGTTGCAGAATATCCTGTTCTGTGTAGAACAGTCACAGATATCTATTGCCAAGAGTGGGAGATAGTTCCTTGTTTGCCATCTAGGAAGATATTTTTGGAAAAAAAACCCCCACTATCCTGTTTACTTTTATAATCATAGCAACCAATTTCTTAGAACAGTTTTTGAAGTAAAAGACATATGTCATATAAATTAGCAAACCTTTGCTCAGGGGGAAAATCTTGAGTAGTGTATAGTACTTCCTCATAGGTGTAATTATGGAGGAATGGCAGATGAGCGAATTCTGCCACTATTCCTTTAAATTCCTTTCAGTATTGCAATAACTTAAAATCTCGGCTGAGCGTTTAGAAACAAGAACTAAGGCTTCCCTAGAAAAGAGACAGGGAGCATAAACAAGGGAGGGTGAACATGGCAAATATGTGAGTTCTAGGTGTGAATGGTTTTCAGTGTCGTGGTCTCTGCAAAACTAGAAATTTGGGGACTAAAGGAAATGTTCAGGAAGGCAGAACTATTATTTTAAAGGACAATGCCTTTGTTTTGCCCTCGCTGCCCATAGCTACATTCCTTCTCTTAAATTGTTTTTGACAAGCCAGGTACTGTCAGTTCTTAAAACTAAACATTCAAACACATAAATGTATTTCATGGATTATGACAGGATGGACGAGACATCGCAAACAGTGAAGCCCATCCTCATGAAACATCCTTCGCTCTCCTCCAGCAGCTGAGGTCCCACTTCTACTAATTCAGGAAAGAAGTTTGAAATGCTAGTGGCCCTCTGGCCAAATGCTGAAAGAACAGGGTTGAAGCTACTCAATCCCTTTGCTTCCTCTCATTAGTGCTTGCTCCCACCCAAGCAGAGTGGCAAGGAAATGGCAGTACTCAAGAGGAAAGCAAAATGTTTGCTCAAGAGAGGATGTTCTTGGAGTAGAACTCCCAGCATTCTGATGGCCAAGACTGATTGGAATTGGAGTCCATCGACATGTGGAAAGTAGCACAATTCCCTTCTTTGATACAAATTCACATATTCTTGTGGCTTTAAAAAATCTTATGCATGTTTATTCAAAAGCAATTCCTACTCTAACCAATGGGGCATGTTCCTATGTAACTGAAAACAGGACTACTGCCTCAGTTAATTAATTATATGAGTTTTTAATTATCAAGTTTGCATTACTTTTATGTCAGTGCTACCACTATGTCATGGCAAAATGTTAAAAAAAAATTAAGGGAACGAATTCAACTTGTGCACTAACTCGGAAGCTTGCTTTCGAGGAAAACCAAGAGGGAAAAGAAAGCATAACTCTATATTTTCCAGATATGAGCTGAAATACCAGCTTGTTGGTTAGCTTGACCTGGAAGCATAGCATTGGATAGCTTGTTCACCTCAGTGAATGAATGTCTCAGCTTGTTTGCTTCCATGCTTGGAGGGGAGAAAAGGCAGGGATTTTCTTCTGATCTAAAGGGCCCACGTTAATGCATTAGGCCAGTAGTTCCCAACTGTTGGTCTTCCTGGTGTTTTTGGACCTAACTTCCCACAATTCTTAACAGCTATTAAGTTGGCTGGGATTTCTGGGAATTGAAGTCCAAAACAACTGGAAGACCAAAGGTTGGGAACCCCTGCATTAGACTGAAACAATAGAATCTGAGTCAATGCAGACCAGAAAGATCAACTTCTCAGTTAATAATATTGATAGAAAAATCAATACTAGGCTATGCCCATTTTAACCTCTTTGAGGGGGTCTCTGAAAGAAAAAATAAATATCTTTGGAACCAACTGCAAAGACAAAGGAACACTAAGAATAATACAGTAGAAATCTCTGAGTGTTACGATTTTTACTGTCTTAGTTCTGCTCTATGAAATATTGGGATTTGTAGTTTTCAGGGTAGTTAGTATTATCTGACAGAGAGCTATTTTGGTGCCTCTTACAAAACTACAGATTCCAGGCTTTTGTATCACACAGTCATGTCAATTAGTAGAATCAAAGTGCGATTAATATGTAATGTGGAAAGAAGCAAAAAACACAGCATAGGAGTTCTTAGAGTCCTCCTTGACTTCTACAACTCATGTGGACAGAAGTGGAAACATGGGAAACCATTCCCATTTCCTTAAAAAGAAGACCGGGGGGGGGGGGGGGGGGGGGGGGGGGGAGGCTGGTGAGCCCCCACCCTTCCTACTGGTCCCAGTGAGCATAGAAGGAAGCACACTCAGGAGCAGATTTGAAAAATATATGTTCTGGAGAATGTTTTTGAGGAAATTTTATGAACAGCTGGATTGGGGAAAAGCATGAAGCATGACAACTCTTACCTTGTTTTTGATGAATCCATGTCCAGAACTAATTTTGCTAAGTGCTTCCTCTGTTTTTGTATATTTGGGATTTCTACCTGGAATTTTTTTTAAAGGAGAGTAAAATGAATGACCTTTTGTACAACACTGCATTAAGCATGTATTGAATTTAAATGAAGTCAAAAGAAAATTTCTGGATTTTGCAGCTTTGGTAAAAGAAAAAGATATAAGGAGGGGAAAAGGTGTCTACTTGCAGTTGCAAGGTTGTAGGGGACTTCGATTTATTATTATTATTATTATTATTATTATTATTATTATTATTATGAATAATAATCTCCCCGGATTCCAAACATAAAAGGCAAACATTCAATGCCCAAATACAACAACAATACATCCATACTAACAAAATTTAAACAACCCAACATATAAATATGAATTATGACTTCCCCTTTCCAAATAGCCTACTGTTCCTGTCCCTTCATAACACAAATACACTCATGCACACACACAAACACTACAGTGGGGTGGGCAAAGTGCAGGTCACAGAATACATGTGTCAATCAGGATCTCATGTATGGTCCCTGTAGCCTCCAGACCCATCCCCAAATTTTAATATTTTATAGACTTATTTTTAGGTTGCTTTTTATCCCTGCTCCCCAGTCAAAATGTCCCAAAGCCACAATAATTTGCTTCCCGGCATCCTCAAAAAACCCTCACATCTTAGAAGGAGGAGGAGGAAAAGGAGAAGGATGAAAAAGTAATCCAAAGCCATGCAGCATAGTGTCCACTACTATAAGTCACTACTTCTGCTCAGAGAACTCTCACCTCAGCCAGTACGAACAGAGGCTCAATCACATCCCTTTCAACTTCCAGCTCAAAGTGGATAAGCTCTTGAGCCAGCTTGTCCTCTGCTTCCCCGCACAGCTTCAGCATCTTCCTGCAAGAGACCAAACAGGTAGTTCACAGAGTGGAAAGGCATGCCACAGAAGAAGATTTGAGTGTGGTTCCCTAGGGCAGATGCACAAAGTTAGGTGAGCTATGCTTAGAATAAGAAAGGCAGCAAGGTTCATTGGACAAAACAAGCATTTAATTCCACGGCTTCCTCCTATGTACTGGGATTTCTAATATGGCAAGGTATTTAATATTTTCTGTTTGGAGAGCTCTAGCACTGCAGTTCTGGGAAGTGTGTTAATCTTTCCCAGAACAGAATTCTAAATATCTTGTCAAACTACAGATCCCAGGTATCCAGGAAATGAAGTCAAGACAATTAACACTGTATGAAACTTCTGGAACTCCCCTGTGGCATGGATGCATCCCATATTTTTCTAGTATTCACAGCTTTCTCCACACAGAAATTGACAGATGTTAAACTGCAACTAGAAAACTATTATAACCAATGCAAGACTACACAGATACCCAGCACAAAGTAGTTTATAGGAAAAGGTGTGATCCAAAAGAAGTAGAAAATTATTCAAATAGCTATGAATGGCATAATTTTGGTTTCCTGTTTCTAAGATAGTGTAACACAACATTTATAAGGAAATCCAGGGAATAAATATATTCCATTAATTAACATGACAATAAATTCTCCAACAGAAAGGATGGGTTCTTACCCAAGCAGGGAGTCATCCCCTAGAATAGCAGAACCTTCCATTAAGCATTGGGCGAGTGACGTCAAAGGCAATTTCTTCTGCAACAAAAGCCACTGTTGTATGAATTAAGTTTTCTTTTTTTTTTTTTTTTTTAAATAATAATCTAGTAACTAATAGAGCCATTTCCCACTGAGAGAATTAGACTATTTCCATACAACCAGCACATTTACAATTTTACAAACAGGAACTAAAACACCAACTGAGCTGCTTGTTTAACTTGATTCTCTTTTTCTCAAGTGCAAACATGAAGAGACACAAGTCTACATTGCCTAATGGATGCTGAAATCTCTCACCGAGCGCTTATCGGAATCTGATCCCTGCTGACCCTGAAGACATGCTGTCAGCTTCTTGTGTGTGCTGTGGGAGACTTGCTTCACCAGCTCCAAACGCTTCTCCACCTGGGGAGGAACACAACAGCACATGTCACGTCAGAAGTGTCCACCCTCTGGTCGGCTCATAGTCAAATCACTGATCTACTTAAGATGGGTAAAAACATATTTGAATTTGAAAGAGTTACCAGAATTTGAAAACTTATTGTGTACAGGTGATTACTGAAATTGCTATCAAAACATGAAACGGGAGGAAGAACAAGTGAAAGCTTGTATGGATAAATGGGAACAAAATATAGACACACACATCCAGTTGGAACAACGGGAGAAGGTGTGGACAAAGAGTTTGACATTTACTTTGTGTAATGATCTGAAAGAAAATATTTTAAGATGATGTACAAGTGGTATTTGACACCAGAGAGACTCTCTAAGATATACAAAGGCAGCTCTAGTAATGACGGACATGTGAGGACACTGTTGGGACATTTTATCATATGTCTTGCAGAAAGGTCCAGAAATATTGGATTCAAATGCATATGTAGAATTTGAACTTAAAATTAAGTTCACAATGAAACCAGAATTTTATCTGTTGGGAATGCTGGACAATCATCTAGAAATTTTGGAAAATTATTACAATATATGATAACTGCAACAAGAATAATTTATGCTTATAGATGGAAAGAACCAGTTTTACTTATGCGAGAATGGCTGTCAAAGATTTGCAGATTAACTGAAATGGAGAAGCTGACTATAACAATTAAGGAGAAATCTCTGGTTAACTTTAAGAAAAAATTGGAATGGATTATTACCTTTTCACAACAGTAGTGGGGGGCAAATGTCAACTGTAGGATTTATCAATTAGAAGAGTGTTACCAAAAATAGAAAAATAGTTATATATTATCATTTAAAGGGAGTTGAATAATAAAGAATTTAAAAAATCCTATTGTGTCCATCCTCTGCTTCTACCAATCTAGACATGCCGATCCCTCTTCCTCTGTCTCTCTTTTTGCACACACGCACACACACATCCAGATCATGGAAATAGGAGGGGGAAGGGGAATCAAACACTATAATCTCTCCTGAAATGCTCTCACAAAATTGGATCACCAGATCTTCTATCCAGCTGAGGAATTATCAATAATTGATCTAATGTACCAACTGATCAAGCGCAAGGGAAAATTAAGCCAGTGGTTATTGATGAGTCCACTATCTAGCACTCCATTGAATAATTGATCTAATGTACCAATTGATCAAGCACAAATTTAGAAGTCCCCTGAAACTTAATACCTAAGGAAGGACCTGGGGGAAACATGAAGTTAAAACAAGGAAGGGGAGAAATGAGGCCAAAAAAGTAGTATCAATACACTTTTGAGTATCAGGGGAAGCACTGAAACTGAACTATATGCAGTTTCAGTGCTTTAATGAGGAATGAGGAACTGAATTCAAAAGTCACTTTGGACCTTTCTTATTAAAAGTAAGAGTCCGCAGAGATCCTTCGAATTGCAACCCAGCTGACAATAATCACATTTTTGCAAACTATATGAAGAAAATAAACTGTTATGTGGGCACATCTCATATACCTTCTCCATAAAGGGCATTGAATTCATCAAGTCAACAAATCTAAAACCATATCATTTTCTCAGCCAATATGTAGATATTGTTTGAGGTTTCTTTAGATAAATATAAAGGCTTCATGGCACAAACAAAGATATCTGATTTTTAGATTCAATTATTGTTTGTATCCACTGGCTTCTAAGTTGTAGACATGAACTTGATTGCCCAGTTTGCATGACTTGTTAACGCTGCTGAATGAAACATACTGATTTAATTTCCTATCCCATATTGATCTATGATAAGGTTGATTTTACACTGATCCTTCTCATTTCTCTTCAGCATTAAGGAATGGTCAAAACTATGTGAGTTTGCATTAGTCGGTAAATGTACATTTTCCGCAGATTCATTTAGCTGATAAATAGATACACACACAAACTTTTGCGTAAAATAATACCATCTTATTTTCTCTAAAGCAGAAAAGGTCAGTGTCCAACCTCCCCTTTCTGAGCAAAGTCTTGAAGCATGTGGTGGCCTCTCAACTCCATGGATTTCTGGATGAAACAGATTATCTAGGTCCATTTCAGTCTGGTTGCAGGCCTGGTTGTCGAACAGAGACAGCTTTGGTTGCCTTGGTGAATGACCTACGAAGAGAGCTAGACAGGGGGGGGGGGGCGTGCCTCTGTTGGTTCTCCTGGACTTCTCAGCGGTTTTCTATACCATTGGCCATGGTATCCTTCTATGTCATCCCGTTGGGATGGGACTGGGAGGCACTGTCTTACAGTGGCTCTGGTCCTTTCTGGAGGGCTGTACCCAGAAGGTGGTGTTGGGGAACTCCTGTTTGAACCTCCAGCCATTGACCTGTGGGGATCCTCAGGGCTCCATTTTGTCCCCCATACTGTTTAACATATATAGAAACCACTGGGAGAGCTCATCTAGAGCTTTGGAGTACATTGCTACCTGTATTCAGATGACACCCAACTCTACTGCTCCTTTCCACCTAATGCCAAGGAAGCTGTCCTGACCCTAAACAAGTGCCTGCCATCAGTAATGAACTGGATAAGGACAAAGAAATTGAAACTTAGTTCAGACATGACAGAGGTACTCCTGGTCAGTGGGAAGGTAGATCAGGGAATAGGGATTCAGCCTGTACTGGATGGGGTTACACTCTTCCTTGAAGACACAGGTCTGGAGTTTGGGGGTCATTCTGGAATCAGCACTGAACCTGGAGGCCCAGGTTTAGGTGGTGGCCAGGAGAGCCTTTGCACAATTAAAATTTGTGCACCAACTATGCCCGTTTCGTGGGAAGCCAGATCTGGCCAAGGTGGTACACGCCTAGTTACATCCTGTCTGGATTACCGTAATGCTTTCTACATGGGGCTGCCTCGTAGACTGCTTGGAAACTTCAGTTGGTCCAAAGAGCTGCAGCCAGGTTGCTCACTGGGACTGACTACAGGGAGCGGACCCCTCCCCCAGTGGCAGCAGCTGCCAGTCTGTTTCCGGGCACAGTTCAAAGTGCTAGTTATGACCTTCAAAGCTCTAGACAGTTCAGGTCCAAGCTATTTGCCTGACCACATCTTCTTATACGAACCTGCCTGGGCCCTGAGATTTTCAGGAGAGGCCCTTCTCTCCATCTCACATCCATCTAAAGCTCAGTTGGTGGGAATGAGAGAGCGGGCCTTCCTTTCTGGTGGCTGCCCCTCGACTCTGGAACTCCCTTCTTCCCAGGGAAGCAAAATGCCCCCCTCCTTGTTATCCTCCTGGTGGCAGGCTAAAACCTTATTATTCAGGCACACTTTTAAATAAGGTTTTTAAGATCATCAGGAACTGCTATGATTTTATGTGCTTTTAATGATAATTAATACTGTTTTAATACTTGTATATTGTATATTTTAAGTTATATTACAATGCTTTTAGTTGTGAGCTGCTTTGAGTCTCTTATGGAGAGAAAAAGTGGGATAATAATAATAATAATAATAATAATAATAATAATAATAGAAGACATGTGCACTGTTTTCTCAAGAAATCTATAACCTTCGATAGGGTAGAAGCCAACATATATTTCTGTTGGAGGAATGGCAAAATCCAGTAGAAACGGAGGAGAGAAATCTCCCATTTCCACAGTAATCCCTAGACTAACTTTGGAAAAATGTAAAACCATCTGAATCTAGTTTGTAGATGATATAGTAGTTTGGAAATGGGAAGGGAAGAACAGATAAAATGTATATGTATGCACCAGATTATACTGTAAATTGGCAGTGTAAAATGAATGGCAGATCTCCCTAACCTACTTCCTTCCATTTTGTTCTGGATTACATTTCCCATCAGCTTCAGTATGCATGACCCATGGTCAGGGATAATAAGCAAGATTTTTGTCTGACTATTCCTTGCAATCTTTCTCATTGTATGCAATACACATTGTATGCAATACACAATGCACATTATGCCTATTGCACATAGACACACAGAAACACACGATTTCTATGTGAGCTTTTGTCTCTCCATATCTGTAAGTGTGTATACAGACACATTTTCCCTTCTGAAGTATCACATTTGCATTCTGGGGAAACCTGTCTGTTGAACACCTAGATTGGCCATAAAACTATTCAGTGGTCCTGGAAGTGAAGAAGTGAAGAAAGTATACGTTTCCTCTAAGGGAAAACCTCTTGTTTCTATTTTTTAAAATTCTACCTGACTTTAAAAAATGCAGGTCTTTAGCTTCATATTTTCCACAGAATGGTGTAAATCCTATTATTATGCCTGACTAAACAATTTGGTCCTTCACTTAGGTGTTGACTCATCATTCCGTAATTTACTTAAAGTTGAAAGCAACCAAGAGGATTCTAACTGGTAATTTATTTATTTATCATTTATTTCATTTAAATTCAGTGCCACACAGGTAAACAATAACACATCTCATCAAAACAATCTAAACAAATAAGCAATCAAAACACATATCAATCAATTAAACTGATTAAAGCCATATAAAATGTTGAGTCATAATCTCATGTCCAAATAATTCCTGCTATCTGTCCTCTTGCAAGATTGCTTTTCTATGTACTGCATGAGGCAGTATCAATTATCAAACTATGATGTGTTTCCAGTGTTTATTTGGGCAGAAAAAGTTGAAATAAAGCACTTTACCTGCAAGAGATCTTCACTCAGAACTTCTGTTTTTTCAGCCCTAAAAAAAAGAAAAATGAAAAAAGTTATTTACGAGAGAGAGAAAAAATCCGAAAACTTGCCAAACTGTGAAATCTCCCAAATGGAGATTCTGTTTATTTTTAGTATAATGCAGACAGCTATAGAAGGCAAGTGTTGATTTTAGTACTGAGCAAGGAAAGATGGAGTTCAAACCCTCCCCACCCCCACTCATTCCGGCCACTTTTTTTTGCATTTTTGGCTGCCTTTGTATGGCCCCAAAGGCAGAAGTAGTGCATCTCTGCTTTACATCAAAAATACATTCTTTTTAGCAACTCCCACATCAATCTGGGCATCTCAGAAACCTTTTCCTTACGTGCTATATTAAAAATTTCATTTTAGAAAATCAATCCAGTCTACAAGTACAAAATGAAATCCACTATAAACAAAACGATAGCCATAATAAAATAAAGATAAACAATCCTCCTCCATCTTCCAACCAACAGGAATAAACACATAAGAGAGAAAAACCATTTAACCGTACAATAAAAAACAAAAATTAGTTGAGAAGGCTCTAGTTTGGATACACCTTTAAGAGTTCTCCTGCTGGTCCAGACAAAAGGTCAGCTAATTCTAGCATCCTGTTGTTGGCTGCAAGGGCAACAGAAAGCCTATGGGAATACTAAATGCCACAGATGTTTTTCTGCCAATGTTATTCAGGGACAGGCTCCCTTCTCTTGCTTTTTTATCTGATTTATAGTCTGATTTCCTCTCAATACAAGATCCAAGCAAGCATACAGCCTTCATTGCTGATAGTCAGGGTAAGCTTGAGCCTCCACACATTTAACTGAATAAGTGTAATGCACCCAAGTGGGAGAGTATATTTGGCCCTTCAGAAGCTGATGAAATTTATTTATTTATTTATTTACTCCATTTGTATACCGCATTTATCAGCCTGAGACGGCGACTCAATGCGGTTTACAATAAAAATGGGCAACACTGACAGTAAATAAGACGCACATACACAAACAACACACATAGTCATCAACGCCTCAATTAGAATCAGATCCCGTTCTCACAGTCCTTTTCCGTTCCTTGTTCAAAATGCCGTTTTACTGAGTTAGTTGTCATTGCATAGTTATCCAAACGCCTGTTCATAGAGCCACGTCTTCACCCTCCTCCGAAACACCAGCAACGAAGGGGCCTGCCTGATGTCCACTGGTAGGGCATTCCATAGCCGAGGGGCCACCACCGAGAAGGCCCTGTCTCTCGTCCCCGCCAACCGCGCTTGTGACGCCGGCGGGACCGAGAGCAGGGCCTCCCCGGACGATCTTAAGGTCCTCGCCGGTTCATAGGTGGAGATGCGTTCGGAGAGGTAAGTGGGGCCGGAACCGTGTAGGGCTTTATAGGCTAAAGCCAGCACCTTGAATTGTGCCCGGTAGCAAATTGGCAGCCAGTGGAGCTGGCTCAGCAAGGGGGTGGTGTGCTCCCTGAGTGCCGCTCCCGTTAGCAACCTGGCTGCCGAGCGCTGGACCATCTGAAGCTTCCGGGCAGTCTTCAAGGGCAACCCCACGTAGAGCGCGTTGCAGTAATCTATGCGGGATGTGACAAGAGCGTGGACTACCGTGGCCAAGTCTGACTTCCCAAGATACGGGCGCAGCTGGCGCACGAGCCGAAGCTGTGCAAATGCTCCTCTGGAAACCGCTGAAACTTGGGGTTCCAAGCTTAGCGAAGAATCCAGAGTCACACCCAAGCTGCGAACCTGCGTCTTCAGGGGGAGTGCGACCCCGTCCAACACAGGCTGTAACCCTATACCCTGTTTGGCCTTCCGACTGACCAGGAGTACCTCTGTCTTGTCTGGATTGAGTTTCAATTTGTTCACCCTCATCCAGTCCGACACAGCGGCCAAGCACCGATTCAGGACCTGGACAGCCTCCTTAGTAGTGGGTGGAAAGGAGTGACAGAGTTGGACGTCATCTGCGTACAGATAACACCGCACCCCGAAACTCCGGATGATCTCTCCCAACGGCTTCATGTAGATGTTAAATAACATGGGGGACAATATTGAACCCTGCGGGACCCCACAAGTCAATGGTTGTGAGGACGAGCAGTTGTCCCCCAGCAACACCATCTGGGTGCGATCCTCTAGGAAGGACCTGAGCCACTGTAAAACAGTGCCCCCCAGGCCCATTCCCACGAGGCGACCCAGAAGGATACCGTGGTCGACGGTATCGAAAGCCGCTGAGAGGTCCAGCAGAACCAACAGGGACACACTCCCCCTGTCAAGCTCACGCCGGAGATCATCCACTAAGGCGACCAAGGCTGTCTCGGTACCATGCCCCGGCCTAAAGCCAGACTGTGCCGGATCCAGATAATCAGTGTCTACCAAGAATGCCTGGAGTTGTGAGGCCACCACACGTTCCAGGACTTTGCCCAAAAAGGGGAGATTGGAAACAGGCCGATAGTTGACGAATTGAGTGGGGTCCAGTGATGGTTTCTTCAACAGCGGTTTTATTACAGCTTGTTTTTGCCGAAGGGAGGCATTAACCACCACCTTCACCCACTCGGCCAATCCCCCTCTGGCCTCCTTTAGAAGCCAGGATGGGCAGGGGTCTAGGATGCATGTGGTTGCTCTCATCCCTCCAAGCACCTCGTCCACATCCTCAGGTTTCACCAATTGAAACGAATCCATCAAAATCGGACAGACAGGTGTTCTCGTCACATCCTCAGAGACCGCCGTTAACATGGTATCCAGGCCCGAACGGATCAAAGCGACTTTGTCCGCAAAAAACCGTGCAAACGCTTCACAGCGGGCTGTCGAGTTGTCAGGGCTCCCATCCAGAATGGTGGGCTTTAATAGGCCTCTGACAACTCGAAACAGCTCAGCCGGACGGTTCTTTGCGGACGCAATATTGGCCGCAAAGAAGGATTTCTTTGCCGCCTTTATTGCCACGGCATATGCCCTTAATAGGGCAACAAACCGTGCTCGGTTTGACTCGCTCGGATCCGAACGCCACACACGCTCTAGTCTCCTCTTTTTTCGCTTCATTGCTGCCAGCTCCTCGTTGAACCAAGGAGCTGGTTTAGCTCGGCTACTTGAGAGGGGACGTTCCGGAGCGATCGTGTCTATTGCCCTGGTCATCTCCCCGTTCCAGAGAGTCACCAGGGCATCAACAGGATCACCAACCGAGGCAGCGGGAAACTCCCCAAGAGCCATCAGGAATCCATTCGGATCCATAAGCCTCCTGCTTATATCATCTCAATGGCCTGATTAGCTGGGGCGGCTGGGAATGGAAGCCCAACATCATCAGGGAGGGCAGCTCTGCTCTTGTCCCAGCTCTGCTCTGGTCCAATCCCGTGCTCAACACAGCATTTGTAATGAAAGACAGCATCCCATGGTGCCATCTGTGCAGGATCTGCTTGAATAGCTATCTGAGCCACTGTCAAAATTACGTAGTTTTTCCTGGTGTCTAAGAAAAAGTGGGGTATGAATAAACATAAGAAGAAGAAGAAGAAGAAGAAGAAGAAGAAGAAGATTATGTTTCCTTTCAATTTCCATGAATGAAGTCTCATATGTGAAAGCTCCTATCACACTTACTCTTAATTTTATCCTATCCAAGGTGCATAACCTATCTCTTTCCACTCTTCTCTGAGTACACTACAAACATGGGTTGACTATTACTTCCTATGATCTGCTTTTATTGACGCCACTCAAAATATTGAGTACAGGACACATCAAGCTATTGATGTCTATTTGTGCTTTTGATTTGTTACGTACCTAAATTTACTTAAAGAATTTCATCTTGTTTGTCCAGACACATAAGGAAGATTCTCCCACCTGGCCTTTGAGGATAGTTTTATTTTCAGTCAGATAAACTATAACTCCAATTTCCTTGCTCTTTACTGACAGCAAAACAATTTCACCCCACCTTCATTTACTATCATGTGGGCATGATGTATATCTTAGAAAATACTGTATATTTGGAAATGCTTTGTTTCTACATATGCATGAGGTATGTAGATCTCCAATATCCAGAACACATCTGGCTGTCTGACAAATAGAGGCTATTAAAAATTGAAAGGTATTTTTAATGAAATTCATAGTTCATGAAAAAAGAATGTTTCTTTTTTCTTGTTAGGTGACTATCATCTTTCAGAACTGATATACCTGAATACTGATTTTTCTAAAAATCAAATACCAATTTCAGGGTTCAAAGAACACTACAAAACTAGATTCAAAAGTTCAAGAAGAACCTGTCACACTTCAAAATTTGACCTTTATATCAGGAGATATCAAGACCTATTTTAAACGTTGTTTTGTTTCTGCTCTAATAAATACCAGGACCACAACTGGAATTTGTCTTAGAACAATAAAAACTTGAAGACATGATTTATGGAACCAGAACAAAAAAAGGTCCATAATTTACTCCATCTCTCTTTCAAACCTGGCAAGTGCCCTTTAAAATTTCAAAAGCCAGAATACCCAAGGCAACCCACTGAGACCTGGCAGTCAGATGTACAATCAGTCTTCCACATTTGCAATCTTGACTTTTGTGGATTTGATTCATTGTGGATTTCATTAAAATGTTGTTTTTTTCTGGGAATATCTTTAAGTCCACTGCATATTGACAATAAAATCATGCTGGAGGACCTAGAGATTCTTAGAGAGGTGTTTTCTTGGGTAAAAACAAATAGCATTTTTTATTCACAGTTTTTCGTTTTCATGCGTGTCCTGTGCTGTCATCAGCAAGCATAGTTAACAAGCACAGAGGCCCACTGTCCACTACTTATTTATATTCAACATCTATGTACCACCTATCACACCCCTGTTTGCAAGGAAAAAGGAGTAAATTAAACATAAGTTCAGATTCCAAATTCTAAATACAAACATAATACTATGTAAGGCTCTCCAACATACATAGCAATTAAGAACACCTTAAAACTATAATGGTGTGCTTTAAAATGCCAGTATAAAGAAAAGGTATTTGGCATGAGTGTTGGCAACATGTATTATTGCTGAAGGAAAGCTACTCCAAAGCACAG